AATACACCAGTGGGAGGCAGCAGTGCGCTAATGTGTTGCTAATGTGCAACAAAACAACAGAAGAAGAAATACGGAAGGTTAGAGAGCATGCGCAACCAGCAACGGTTTGAATTTGTGCGCCAAGTTTGCTGAGACTGCTTGCATTTTTACCACTGGACAAAGACTGATTACTTCTATACAATAATAATAAGGTAAGATTAAAAAAATAATTGTGTCAATGTATCTTTCTGTGTGCTGCTAATTTTAACTAAGTTAACCTTGTGAGCACCAGTGTTAGCTAACAGACACCAAAGATCTTTGCTATTCTGCTGTTAGAACAACCACTGTGCAAATACAGAACTTGTGGCGTATTTTGGCGAATTTAAGACTTTTTTTTTTACTTTTCAAACTGAAAAAATTGTAGCTAGTTAAAAATTAAAGTATGAAAATTCCGAGGTACAATTCAAGAACATGCCAAAAGTCGTCAAGATGAGCTCACAGTAGGTTTTAAATTAAATATTTTAACTCATTGACTCCTTTATTGACACTTTGACAACCATATTTGTACAGTAATTTTTGAATGTCTTAAACTTTGTTTTTATTTTCATACTTCTAGCTACCTGTTTTACTTTGTGATTACCCCAGATACTTCTACAACTAACCCGCTTTGTAAGTTCTCATAGCTACACCTTAAAGAAGCACATAATTATGCGAAAATTTCCTGTGTATTTGCTGGTAAATTACGAAGATACCTTTATAAAGATTAATGTTGATTATATACCTAGTTCAACAAAAAATGAAAAAAAACCAAAAAAAAAATCTTAATCTCCCTCCTGTCATTCCATCCCATAAAAAAAGTGTGCATCTTCAAGACATGAATGAAGATATTTAACCCAAAACACTTGACACCCAAGAAACCATAAAATAAATCCATATGAATGGAGCCGTGTAATCTACTTTTGGGCCAAACTGTTCAATGAATGGTAAGGAGCAGTTTCAGTTATATTTCCACTTGAACTTGGTTAGGCATAGTCTGATCACAAACCATTCTTGATCTGGAATTATTAGCCGAACACGCTGAACCGTGCTGTAGAATGCCTGGAGTGACGTCGCTGCTCAGGATTCTCATTTTTCTTTTGCTTAGCCAACAGTTTCTTTGTAGCTGGACAAGCCTGCTATTTGAACGAAGTAAACAAGTTAATAGTAAAATTAAAAGAAATATTTAATCTTTCATAACGTGTGCTATTTACATCTAGTACCGTATTTTAACTCTTGCATTACTAAGGTAACGACTGACACATTTATGTTGCATTCCAAAGAGCTCTGTTAACAGCCCAACAGTGAAAAATTAAACCATATCCGTATCGGCTTGGGCCGGATCAGCACAAAATGGAATGGTTAAGCAACAAAAATGGTTTGGCCTGACAGTGGAAAAGCGGCTCAAATCTTCAGAAGAGACATGATTGCTATTTGATCAACTGTCTAATGTTTTGGGTGAATAGACATTCAGTTGAAGGACAGAAATTTCTCGGATTTCACTGAAAATGTCTTTATTTGTGTACCGAAAATAAACAAAAGTCATGTTTGAGTAAATGATCACATAAATCTTCCAGGGTCTACCTCAACCATTTGCTTCCGGACTGCCATGTGCTATGTTTGGATCACGGGTACAGTACATTTGGATTACCCTAATACTGTGAAGAACACTTACAGTGTGATGCTTGACTTGGGGCAGAAAAAAAAAAACAATGGCAACTTGTGCGGCCAACCCAGTGCCATACTTACTCATCGTACTGCTATCTCCACTGTTTACAAGAAGCATACCCTAAATCAGATTGTTTTTGCTTTGTTTCAAAATGTTTGTAATACAAGTTAAAACTGCATTGAAAAACATAAAAAAATTAATTACCTTTAACTTTGAACTTTCACTACCTTAAATCTATGTGTAATTGTATGTGTGTGATGAATACACATGTTGTTTGGGAGGGTGTCAAGAAAAGAAAATGCTCTCATCCAAAAACAATCTCCAGCGTATTCTGTTGTCACACACGACTGGAACTTCAAATGGGACTGGCTTCTATGGTCAGATGTAACTAAAAAATTAGCTTTTTAGCAACTTAAGTTAGTGGAGTAACACTTACTTGGTTTTTTTAAGGCAATCGGTTTGCATGCTTTTAGCAAGTAAATCAGATTGCTGTTTAAGTAAATACAACTTAGAAATTCCAAGTTGCAGGAAATGTTACATGAGTTGGCTCAACTTAAATAAGAGTTGTTTGAAATACACACACACAGTATATTGTACTTATTCATTTAGTTGTTGAAAATGGTGATTCTGAGTTACCAGAACTTGCGTGTAAGTTTACAACACTAAATAAACCTTTGTTAGTACAAATTACTATTTTTATTTAACTTTACTTGGTTTTTTCAAGGCAATCGGTTTGCATGCTTTTTTTAAGTAAGGTTTACTAATTGGAATTTACAGCCCATTTTAAATTCTTATTCTCCAATGAAAGGTTAGATTTATGTGAAGTTTTTAAATAAAATATCAAAATGATTAACAATGCATATTTATTTTCACAGCCTTCTTTGATCATATTTACCAAGGGTGCCAATAATTCTGACCACGACTGTAAATCAGCAACAACCCTTATGATTTAGGCTAACATTTATAAGCAGAAACCCCAATGCGAAAAAATATTATTAGGCTATTTCTTTGCCCTGTAAGCTACAATGATTTGAATCTGCACATTTAACATGATTTAGAAACAATAATAAAGAAAGCTACAATGTTGCCTTATATTAATATATATATATTTTTTTTACTTATCTTAATTTAGTCCTCTATTTGAAAGCAGAACGCTGTCAGCTGGTAATGCATGACTTTTTAACCTATCCAAACATTTTCAAATTGAAGGCAAATGTGACACATGATGGCTGTATTGTATTTCAGAAAAGCACATTTGGCCACCACATATTAATTGGATGGTGTCAATTTTCCTTATTCCCATTTTCTTCCTCTCCTTTTCATTACTTTTTCAGAAAAAAAGGGGAGTGGAAGTGCATTTGGCCCTAGCTGTTTCAATTTATCAAGCAATTTCCTAGAGCTAAACAGCTTTTAGTCAGTGAAAACAGTTGTCTGTTTCTTATTAATGTTTCTCAAGCTCAGCTTTTACATTTTACTCACTGATTGATGAAGGATCATAGATCAAAATATAAGACATGTTTTTGTATCTAAGGAGTTTTATAATTTAAACAATGGCTGTAGCCTGACTGCAAATGTAAAGCACATAGCCCAGCACCTAATGGACTGGATGCATAAAATTTAAAGATTAAGAATATAATTTTTGAATTGGTTTGTGAAATTTGACAAATGCTCTTTGGAGCAAGATGTGCTCTGTGATCAGTGTTTGTAACTAAATGATTTATAACCCACATTTGTTAACCCATATATTTTAATGTTTTTTTTTATGTTTGAGAAAAACATGGTTGCGTGATTCTGTAATAAATGGTTAAATACCCAACAATTGATCCTTAACAAATTTAAGCTATATGCAAAAAAACAACAAAAACAAAAAAAAAAATCTTAGAAATCTTTATTGACATGGTTAATAAGACTTTTAACATCCATGGAACTTTTCCATTTTGCAAAAGTGTCTTTAGGATGGAAAATGGTTATTTTGAACCATATGTATGTATAGTTGTATGGATTCAAGAAATAGCTTAAATACACTTAAAAATACGGGAGGAGAGGACTCTTGAACAGTTTAGCAATTAACCAGCCTCTACAAAGAGTTATGGAGATATATAACTCATAGAGTTGACATAAATGTGTGACCTTTTTGACATCTTTCAAAATTAGAGACCTTTTGAGATGATGAGTCCCCCATTTTGTACTCTGAAGCAGCTCCAGAAGACTTGCTGTAGTGGCTCGTTATCCCCTTTTCAGGTCTAAAAGGCAGGATATGATCAATCAATAACTCATAAATCCCTCTATAACATATATGAGATACGGAGTGGTTTCCAATCTTGCTACTGCTGTCCAACAAGAATCAGATGCCAAGCCATGAGTGTTATACGTATTCTACAATATTTAGGAAGATGCCTGTGATGTGCTGATGAGTAGGCAGACTTGAACATTAAAAATCAGAGATAGAAGATATAGAGATGTACAACTCATATACATAACAATCTTACACCAACACTTCACATAATTACATGTACATTTAACTTCATTGTTTGTGCTTTTGTTTTGGCTTAATCTATGTTTATTGTCAGACTTGCTTTATGTTTACAGCAGTTTTTTTGCACTGTGTTTCTGTATGTTCTACTTGGTCTTGTTCTAAAAGCAAAAAAAAAATAAAATAAATAAAAACAACAACATAAAGGTGTTATACCTATAACTATTTCTTTTATGATTCAAAACTTTATGTACAGTAGATGGTTGTTTGTTTTTTTTGTTTTGCTATGTGAATGACATTTCGTGATATGCTATGCATTATGAGAAAAGTTATGCAATAGAATAATTATTTTAATAAAAATTCTGTTTATTTTTATTTATTCTATAAATAAAAATAAATATAAATATCTATTTATTTATTAATATATATTTAGAATAAAAAACTATTTATCCTAAAGGGATTTGTAAACTTTAAAAAAAAAAGAAAATTATAATTATAATAATTATTATTATTTACATTCTGACTTAAGAGTATAAATCTTGAAATAAATACGTTTTTCAGAGCCATAGATGTATAAAAACAGTAGGCCTATTGGATAGACATTTAATTATTTACATCACTTACAATCAAACCAGTAAAGAGAGGCGTTTTATAACACATTTTTAAGAAGATCTAGACTAGAGAATATGATTTAGTTACATTTTCCGGACATTAGACCCTTCGCACCGCAACTGGTTTCCTTTTATTGCTGGGATTCGTCCAGGAAGTAATTGTGACAGTATAGACCCCGTATTAAACCAATCGTTTGGAAGAAAACGTTATGTTGTCCAATCACATTTCACCGTGTTACTGGGTAGGCGGGCTGTTCTCTGTGTTGAGTTTGTTTAGTAGAGCAAGAGCAACGATTTCGCTTTTGTTTTCTCTGATTTCCAGTCGCTGAACTGTATCGTTCGGCTGATCATTCAATAAAACCAGGTAAACAATTCGCATTTCATCTATTAATACGACTCATCAGTAGAAAAAGCCGTAAAATATCACTGAAATCACTAGATGACCCTAGAAGCGACCAGAGCGATATATGACTGAAGTTAGTATCAAGCTGAACTATCATGTCAGAACAGAGTACTACATTGTTGGTCAAAATTACTGCCTTAATTCTCGCTAAATGTTAACATATACGTTTACATGTAAATTACTGGGAAATTGGGAATTGTCGAGGCTTAACACAATTGACCTACTGCTGAGTCATTAGCTAGCTAGTCAAAGAACCTTTAGCCAAAAGGCTAACAGAAAAGTTCAGTGGATCTGGCTGAAGAAAAACACACCCGAGCTCTGTGTCCTCTACAGCGCGAGTGCTCCTTTAAACATAAAACATCAAAGAACACGTTCATAAATGATGATGAGCTTCTGGTATTGTGATTCTTTGCTTGTTCTGTAGGTTAGCAAGCTACTTAGCCTGGCTGGAGACATAACTAATGTATTTGTCTCTTATGAAACACAACCCCTTTCTAGAACATGTCTCGCTAAGATGAGGCTGCATGGCAAGGCCCTTTTTATACACACAGATATTCGTATGAATCAAACGTCTATTTCCTGATTTAAAGTTTTTGTTTTTAAAATGTTTTTGACATTTCTGGTCTCTTTCGTGTTGATCACACCTGCTGAAGTGCCAGGTTAGTTTCTGCTATAATGACAGTTTCCAGTCAGTCCCACTGTAACCTAATGCACCTCTTCAGTTATTTACCACAAGGATAAAGTTGCTTTAAATATCTTCATCATAACTGTCTGCTTGCTTTATTCACAGTAGTATGTATTTAAGCTTGTCGTGCACATATTTTCATCTTCTTGGCCAGTGTTTATTATTAGTTGGAAACATAAATTCTGTTATGAGAGAGAGCGGTTTTATTATGATTAGTTCATTGGATTAACATCAGTCTCTTGAGCTTTGTGTTTTCTCTGTCTCGTAGGCACAGACAGCACTTTGTTGCTCTGCACACAGGGTACTTGCATTGGTCGCTGCTCGATGGAAAAAGTGTAACCATGTTCAGTTTTGAGGGAGATTTCAGGAGAACGCCCAAGGTGTCCCTTGGGGGTGCTAGCAGAAAAGTAAGTTTTCCATATGATATGATGGCTGAATTATCAAAGTGTCTAAATTCAGACTACTTTGTTCACACAAATGTGTCTAGTTCTGTGCATCACTACTTTTGTCTACAATGATTATTACTTGGGAAATGATGATATGGTATGTTTGTGAGTTTTTGGTGTAAAGGATTTTCAAATATGGACTACATGAATCTGGCAAAAATTGCTGTATCATTTTAATATTTGATCTATTTTGATATGCCTCACATATGTGTTTTGTACAGGAGGAAAAAGCGTCACTTCTTCATCGAACACAAGAAGAAAGAAGGAAAAGGGAGGTGAGAATCGTCCATTATGGTATTTTAAAGCGCTGTGTTTTATTGTAAAAATAGGACAGAAAAGTTCTAAATAATGTCTGAAACTTTGTATTATTGTGTTTATTTTCTTCTTAATGATGAATCGCTTGTTGTATTCCTCATGTGTAAGTAGTTTGGATCAAAGTGTCAGCTAAATTAATAAATGTAAAAGTGATGTTAGTTCTGAAAAAGCTTGGGTTGACTAACTGATCTAATGCAGTAACATTCAGTAACAATTTCAAGTGTGTCTTGAGAGTAAAAATAATTTTTGCTACCATTGTACCCATGATGTGTACAGTATTTCTGCATAGTTGTATCTATTTTCATTTTAGAGCCCGAAATGAGGATATGAAACTTAAAGTTGCAAACAAATAGGAGATGATGATCTTGTCCTTATATATGGTTTTACTCTACTTTTTTTTTTTTTCCACAGGATGAGAGGAAAAGACTAAAAAATGCAGTCATCATTCAGTCATACATAAGGGGATACCAAGACAGAAAACAGCAAGTATGTGACATTGGTTTAAACTCTTACTTTCTTTAAACAGAGAGCCTGTTTGTATTATTGTAGTTGATAGACTGTTTGTTAAATTCCTAATTATTCTTTCTTTTTCTTTTAGTATGCCATTCAGAGGGGCTGCTTTGACCGCTGTGTGTGTCAGTGCCAGTCAGGCTCTGGCCCTCAACTCACAGACAGTGCCATACTCAGCCAACTTGTTCGCCAGCTTCTCTTTTTTTACAGACTAAGAGAAGACCGACACAGAATGGTAAGCACTGCAGGTTTAAAAATCTGTTATTGCCATATGAGGCTCAGTGAAGTTTTGTTATTTGCCATTTTAATGTAGTTTGAAGAAAAAGAAGTTGGACAGATTGGTATTGTTATGGTGTCACTGACTTTATGAAGCCATGAACCTTCATTGTCATTTATGGATGTTATTGTCTTAACTGTGTAGATCTGGATGTGTCAGAGTTTGGTAAAGCATCATGCTCAGTTCGTGAAGCTGCTGACGGGGCCAGAAAGACAGAGCTGCCTTTTTCAGATCAAGAGGATACTGGGGCACTGTTGCAGGTAAAATGAGATGTTCCTCAGATACCGCTTTGTGTAGTAGCATACCTAAAATAAATCCTTCTGTCACAGTCACATGTAAACCTTTAGATCTTCTTGTTGGTTGGTTGCTAAGCATTTGCTCTGTCTGTTTAAGGTTATTGCAAGCATGTGAAGATGACAGTCTGAATGTGACCGTCCCGATGCGGATGCTGGAGGTGTTTTTATCTGAGAGAACCTACTTGCCCTTTCTACAGGATGAAAACTGTGTCACTGCACTTATTGAACAAATATTGCACTATATGGTAGAGAAAGGTACAACTTTTTGCCCCATGTTAGATTTATCTTCATCATGCATTAAGGTTAATAGATGAGTATATTCAGTTAGAGAAAGTACGTAAGATTCTCTTTTTAATTTAGCTTAAGTTTGCATCTGTTATCTATCGTAATCATATTTCATTTTCTCTTTTAGGATACTACAGAACTCTGTATGTTTTAGTGAATCACAAGTTGCCATCGAGTCTAGAGTATAGTGATGCCCCTTCTATTCCACTGGCACAAACGCTGCTGGAACACACACTCAAGCCTCTGCACTTTACATACAGCTCCTGCCCCCCAGATACCAGGTACATATTTACATAGGTGCATACTGGGAAAAAAAGTCTAATTAATTCAAATGATTCATAGCCTTTTATACTATACATGCTGAGAAGAGCATTTAGTTTAAGCTGTTCAAGGAATGTCTTTGTTTTGGTGTGTGTGGTGCAAGGGTCCCACCCAGTAAAAGGCTGCACACTGACCACTTATTGCAGACTGTTAGCTTTATCCTTCCAGGGGACCAATGGACAGTAGTTCTCTCACTGCTGTGTTTACAGAGAGTAGTAAAATCCAGACAGACTCATTGACTCAACATGTAATGTTTACACAACATTTACCCTCCATTCTAACACTCTGAGTGACGAACACTGCTGTTTTCTTTTCTTTTCTCTCTGAAGAACGACAGGAGCACGAGAGAAGAAGCTTGTGCATATAGTCTCGTATTTGCCCTCTTTCTTTCTCTCTCTCTCTCTCTCTCTCTCTCGCACGCACGCACGCACGCACGCACACAGAGGCATGTAACCAGACAAACCATTGTTTCCTCCCAAAACCTTTTAATTTAAATGAACATTTTTCAAAAAATATTGTTTTTAATAATGTACACTACTGTTCAGAAGTTTTAGGGGTTAATTGGTTTAATTCCAGTGTGGATACATCAAATTGTGGTGGTGTCACTTCTATTTTTTTAACTTTGTGTCTATAAAGCAATGGTAAAATACATCCTTTAGAATAATTGAATTACTGTAATGTCACTTTGGGAAAATATTTAGTTATTTACTTTTTTAGCCAGGAAGGTCCTGTTGAAATACAATATCTCTTCTACCAGGGACTCCTGGTCAAGATAGGCAGCAAAGGAGAAAGTTACAAAGAAATACATATCACCACACAAACAATGAACAAACACAAAACGCAATTTTCTAAAAACAATACAAATCCTAGTTAGTTATTAAAAAATGTACACTGTTCTATATAAACAGACTTAAAAATATTTTTAAAGTCTTAAATATATATATATATATATTTTAAATATGTATGCTTTATGGCAACTAACAAGGTTCTTCTAGGTCAAAGCTCTCCTGTTGGCAAAAGAAGGTTGTGGAATTTGTTGTCTCATAGATGCACAAATAGCCAAACGTGTGTGTATAAATGTGTGTGTGTATATATTGGGAAGTATATTAGTATTAAAATGGATATATTTATTGTGATATTTAGAAAAATGAATTAGGTAATGTCCTTACTGCAGACTGAAACATACAGTACAGTTATAATAAATAATAATAAATTCACAGGTTCTCAATCTTTTTTCTTCTTCTTTCATTCACAGGCAGTTTGTTTTTTCGGCCTTCACTGAGGAGTTCATTTCAGTGCCTTTCACTGAACAAATCTATCATTTCTTCGTGCCAGCTTTGTCAGACCCAAAACTAGCTTTCCCATTTCAGAACTTCCTTTGGTCACTTCAGGCCACCATAGCCTCCTCTGTCCAGGCTCGAGCTCAGGCTCCCTGGCTCTTTTACTTTGTGCTATCAGTTGGAGAATCAGGACTGGGTAAGCATTGTGCTTAATAGCACTTTACAGTATCACTAATATACTGTGTATTAGCAAGGTGCCTGATCAGTGAATAAAACGATTTTGTCCATTTTGTTTGCATAGGTTCAATCTCCGAAGAAGGGTTGCTGTTGTACTTGAATGCGCTACAGACTCTATTGCCATTGTTGCCAGTGACGGAGTGCAGCAGTAGAGCTGACATCAACACTGATTCAGAAGATGAGGAAGAAATGACCGTACAGCCTCCTGCTGCGCAGGTACACACACATTCTCTCTTATCCACGTCTTTGCACAAAAATGTTCAGAGAGCTTCATAGTATGCAATTTTGTTCTTTTTTAAAGGATGGCAGTTGGATATCTGTGCATTATATAACAGAGGAGTGTGTACAGAAGTTGGACACCAAGCAGCAGACTAATGCTCTGCTAACATTAGTGTGGAGAGACTCGGCAAGTGAAGACATCTTCACCATGATGGCCTCCATCTGTCACACGCTGATGGTGCAACATCGTATGATGGTGCCCAGAGTCAGGTAAGATCATACATGCAATCAACCCATCCAAAAAATGAATCACCCAGGATAACTAATATAACTAGATTCATTGCCCAGTGCAATCACTCTCTTACATCAAGATAAGTTAGGCATGATGGACCACTCTATAATTAATAAAAAGAGATGCGGTCAAGAAAGAGCTGTAATCACATGAGAATTGGATGCACTTTTATACGTGTATAAAAAGATTCCCCAACATCAAACTGTCAGGTCTATGAGCAGTATTGTTTTTTGTTTTTCCACTTTTTTTAATGATAAAGCAACATTGCTAATGAAGCAATCAGGCGGTTAAGTCTCATCTTACTGTGTGTTTTTTTTGTTTTGTTACCAGAGCAGTTTTAGTTGCTGCCACTCATCAATTAGTGTAATGAGCTCTTCTCTCAATCACCTTTGCTTTATTTACTTCTGGTTCTGCAGTGCTGACAAAATGAGAACAGGATTTCAGCAGATAGAATGAAAGAAAGGAGGAAAGTGATGGAGAGAGATGGCATGAAAGACAGGGAAGAGGAGAACGTCTGGTTTAATGAGGGAGAGAGATATAAGAGAAAGCCACTGAGCTCTAAAAGGTGGTGTCAATCAACTAATCGGAACTAGTTTAAAGTTTCCACTCATGCAGTGTGCGCCCTAGTCTATACCTTTTACGTTCTTAATATCAAATAATTAAGAAAGTTGTATTGTGTATTAAAATCTTATCAGAAAGCAGTCTTCACAGTAGAGGAGGCAGCATTCACAAGCCCCTTACATCTTAGAAAAAACGTACCACTTTGAAAAAGAATTTCACTTTTTTTTTTCTTTTCACATATTTTCTTTTTTTAGTAGGGGACTGTTCTTTAAAGAATTTCTTAAAAGGGAGCTTTTCCAAAAAATCCTGCTAGCTAATGTTTCATTATACTACTTATAAGTTATTTTAGGAGCTTACATTTTCTCTACAAATACTTATTATTTATTTATTTTGTTAATGTTTGACATGTTAAAAAATTTGGCTAATTTAAACATGTGGGGAAAAATACTTTTCTTAAAATTTAGTCTGTTTAACGCATAATATTGTCTAATTAAAATGCCTCAAAAATTACATGCCAAAATTAACCTATTTTTAAAACCGTTTAATATTTTTAATAGTTATTTGAAAATATAGAGTAATCGGAAATAAATGAAAGTATAACATATCCTATAAAGCACATTTCAAAGTTGATGTAACTCAAAATGGTTTCTATAAGACACCTTAGACTTCCTTTATAATGTTTTGCATGTTCTGCTTTCATATATATATATATATATATTAAATAAACCTCTTGAATTTCCATGATGTTTTCCTGCATATCCTTTCCTCGTGCTGTATTTTCCTCCATTTTTTTATTTGGAGGTATTTTTATATTTTACAGCTCCGTCCAGAAGAGAAGGCTTTTATCATAAGTCCTGCCTTCACTACTTTATCATTATCGGATATCTGTACAAAATAATTAGCTGGCCTAGGAAGATTAATTCCTGCAGCAGTGGATGGGATAGTTTTACAAGAGGTATAACTGCTGGCCCTGATTTACAACCTTTAAAGAAGCATCCAGTGAGCGTGCAAACTTGGTTGCCTTTTAAACATGATCATATTTTAAAGTGAAGAGCATGGCTGTATTTCACACTAAACAAGGTCATTATAGTATCAAACTGAGTTAGTGTAAATAGCACACTTGGTTCTTGTCCATGGAAAGGTCTCATTAATGTTAAGCCTGCTGTATTTGTTTTGGCTATTTAAAGACTCTATGAAGATGATTTTAAATTGTGATTAGATGCAAAGAACAGGAATTTAAAAGAAAGAAAAAAAGTGAAAGTGAAATTGACTTTGATATAGTCATAGCTTTGATTAGATTTCAAACACATGTACATTTTTTGTATTATTTTTTGAGAAAATTAAAACCTGATAGCATTTTGCTTTGTGTGTCTATTTTGTTTATTTATTTTTGAATATTTGGTGTACTTATTTCAGCGTTTCATATATTTCTCAGTGAGAGTTCTGCAATTGTTGTGTTATTTATTTTATTGTTAAAGTGCTGTCTGACATTAATATAGCATATTGGGGGGAAAGGTCTATAACATTGTAAACAGAAGGATGTACACATTCTTACCTTAACCTCAGCTTTAATCTTATTTTCTCCCTCAATTACTTCCAATTATGCTTTATTTATTCTTTCACCCCTTGACACAAAACAAGCAACCACCAGAGCGATTTCTCACACCCCGGTGTGACGGCTGTTAGGTTTAACGCGACCTTAACACAGTCTCTAATTTGTGATAGCAGCATTGCTTCTACGGTCAAGCAATTGTGGCCGTGCTACATTGTCTCGCTGGCTGTCATTAACTTAAATGGAGCCCCCACAGGAACCACTGGGCTGTTTACGACCCTGAAGCAGACTGCTAGTTTACTAATGGAAGGTGCCTCACCTAAATAAAGCTTAATGGCTCATTTAATCTTTCCTGTGGTCACATACAAAGACTAGAAATTCCAGCTCACTGGGTTGTTTATATATTTTTCTATTTTATGAGTCCTGCTGGAAATTTGGGATGTTTAGGTTTTATGGGCAGGAGATGTGGTTGTTTGAACATTTAGTGGTGAGCATAGTTCCTGTAGCACCTTTGACTAAAAGTGTTGGTGAGTTATGTTCAGTAAAGGTATTGTGTGTTTATTAATCTACATAATGTTTGGTGGGATCAACTATTATACTTAAAGATCTATATTCTTTCTATCTCTTTTTTGTCTTTTCCAGGCTTTTGTACAGTTTAGCCTTCAACGCTCGCTTTCTTAGACACCTATGGCATTTAATCACATCTATGAAGACTAAAATAATCACAGGGTGAGATTTCTACATTGGTTGTTTTTTTTGTATGTATACTTCTTTAATATAATATTAATGATATTAACCATTTTTCTTTTGCCCTCTGTTTATTCTCCCTGTCTTTTGTGTAGCTCTATGGTTCCCTTGTTGCAGGTGATGTCTCGAGGTTCTCCAATGTCTCTGGAGGACGCCAACAGGATCATCCCTCTCTTCTATCTCTTCAGTTCACTCTTCAGTCATTCACTCATCTCTGTGCATGACAGCGAGTTCTTTGGCTCAGCAGATGGTATTAACATCTATTCTGCAAATATGTACAAATGACTGTATCATAATATATTGTAGTATTTAATAGAACACATTAAAACACATCAGGTCATTTCGTTCTTTCACCTTCTTTTGATTGTGGTCTTGTTAATTCTACAGCACTCCTGAAATTTTAGTTTCTCACTTTTTTTGAAAATTGAATGTTACAAATGAATGTTTCTCATTGCTCGGCAGGTCAGAGCCAGTCGTCGATGATGCCCTTCTCTCTGGCGGAGTTGGTGACATTGTCTCGGTGTTTGCGGGACGCGTGTCTGGGAATCATTAAGCTGGCCTATCCTGAGACTAAGACGGAGCACAAAGAGGAGTATGTAGCGGCATTTCGTAGTGTCGGGGTGAAAACTAACAGCCAAGTTCAGCAGCACATTCAAGCTCAGCAGAAACGATGGGTCCAGCTCTTTAAGGTGATTCACTCTATATCTACATCTCACACTCTTATCTCCTAGCTGATATTAATGGCAGATTCACTTTCATAAGGTGTTGTAGTTGAAAGGGATTAAACATTACCAGTACTAAGATTCTCACTAGTATGAATTCCACATTCGTTAGCACTGATAATATCTTTAGTGGATGGTGGGCGTTACTTTTAACCAGTTGCTGTATTAGCAGTGCTAACAACGTCTTTGATGACCTAATTAAATGAGCGGACAATTAATGAGGTGAATAGTCTCAGCATCTGTTAGGGCCATCAGTGCTGATCAGCCAGGCAGGAAGACCACTCACTCGGGAAATTAATAGGTTGTTTGCCAAGTCTAAGTGAGCTGAACAACGGCGTTAGGATATTAGTCAGCTGTCTTCACTCTCTTGTCTTCTTCCATCATCCTCTTCCTCGTCTTCTTACTCATTATTTATGTGTACAGGATGACCAGATCTCCTGCTTGCTGTTGACAGCTCATTGACCTACTTTTGTCCTTTCATTTAACTATAAATCTTTTCAATAGATTTGTAGAGCTTTTCAACATTGACAGCAATTTATTTGATTATACAATACATATCAGAGTACATATGTTTCTCCAGGAGCTTGTTAACATCTGCAACTTTAAAAAGAATGTTCCCCTTTAATGAAAGACATCATTACTAGATTTTACACTTTACTCCAAACTGTGATCAGTGCACTCAAAACAGTTCACACAGCTGTCAGTATAGACTTAAAAAAAGTTCAAAACCAATTGTTTTTCCACTATTGGTTATATCGTGTATTCATCAAAGTACACACACAAGTATGCAGACTTCACAATACATTTTCAAAACCTATTGTTCAGGTTCATGTGGCTGATAATTGTTAAGATCATTGGTCTTAGTTTGGAGAAATGTGTAAAATGAACTGAGATAAAAATGTAATATACAAAATAATAATACTAATAATAAACAAACAAATAAAAAAAGTAGTTATAGTTTTAAAGCAGTGCAGCAGTAAAAGGCTTTTTTTAATTCTTAGGAATTCCAGTTTGTTTTGGAACCTGCCACATTTTCTCCCTTAGTTCAGTTTAAGCATATATAAATACAGCAATCATGCTCTGATTCGAGCCAAAATAATCAGTCTCAGATAGAAAAACTCTTGGATCAGTTTGGTGGTGGTGAGTAAGCAATCTAACCCCACAGACCAATGAACCAAACTGTATCATAATTCATAACATGAAAAAAACAGCATTCTAATTCTCTGTGTGAGCACATTAATTGTCGCAGTAGAAAACCGAAGATCATCAGGTGAAATGCAAGAATGCTTTCCCAACGAAGCCTTAATTCTTGCTCTAATAAATTATATACATTTTGTATTTGTGTGTAGCTAGCTAACTTGGTGTTGGGCGATATCCTCAATTGTCATATCATCCTATCGTCAGCCTGTGAGATCGCCGATACACGATATTGTCATACTAATTTATTTAATTATTTATTTACTTCGTTTATAATTATTTATTTAGTTTCATTGCCGGAAAGTGAACCAATTCCAGCGTAAGGCCAAAAGCAGCCTAATGTTTTTAATATAACCGAATTTGTATTTAACATGATAACAATTTAATAGAAACATTGTAAGTTATTAATCATAAGGCTTACATTTCCTCAGTTATTAAAAAAACAGCTTTAGAAAACGAGCAAAGAACATTTACATCACCAAACAACATCATAACTAACTTCAGTCTAGTGCGAGTTTATGCACTTTAAAAAACACTCCCGTTATAATCCGTGAAGCTGTCTACATTGTATGATGAATAAATCTCTTACATTACATACTTGCATTGCACGTACATCTGCACTTTGTTGTTTAAGATGAGAGAATTCACAAGTCAGAATTCAGTCAGCGCGCGCTGAACAACAAAACTCCGCTGTTTCAGCGATGACTCATCTGAACGCCTCTGATTGGCCGTTGCATTCATAAGCTCAACATAATCGTGTGATTGGTTATAACGCGCAACACTGTAAAAATTTTCAACTTGTACGAACACTACGAGTGGAATCCCAGAACATAAACAGTTGCACTCTGACCAATGAGAAGGCAGTTTTACTCACATGTAACCAGCATAAACACTTTTTGGTGCACTTTGACATTTTGCCTTTGTTAAAGGGAATCATCCCAAGGAGAGAATGCAACATTGTAAAAATTTCCCTGTTTTGGAACAAAGCAAACATTCTAAAGGATTTAAGTAAATGCCTATTTATTTAATTTTTTAAGTTTGTACTATTCCAGCAAGCATCTGAGTGAATCACTGTAAGTGACAGATCATTGTTTGGGTTCCACTAGTCGAGTCAGTACGGCATACAAAAGGCTCAGAAAGATTTCCACAAAAGATGGTGGAAAACGCCTCCTGTCAGCTAAAACGACCCATTAAAGAAGTACAAGCAGGAGAAACGCATTTCCCAAATTGAATGTGCAATTTACAGTCAGCTCTAACGCTGTTGACCCCTCACACACTAATACCAGACTTCACTCAAGGTTGTGCAAGTGTACAGATGCAAATGAAGTAGGTCTTTTGCAGCAGACATCTAGTTTCTTATGTTTACCAAGGGCCCATTAATTTGATAAAAAATACAGGAAAGAAAATACTAATATTGGGAAATGTTATTATTACTATTTAAAATAACAGTTTTCTGTGTTAATGTATTTACAAATGTAATTTATTCCTGTGATGGCAAAGCTGAATTTTCAGCAGCCATGACTCCAGTAGCCATGGGCCGTCCCTCCGAATGTTTTATCACTCCTATTGTCGAGCTATCTATTTAATTGAAAGAAGTTAATTGAATGAAAATGATCAACTAAGCTTGTATTAATATTGCTAATGGAACTTTCTTCTTGGCCGTGTTTGGAGAGGGATGTCACCGCGGGAGTTTTGGAGAGACCCATTAAGGCCTGCACTTAACCCGATGGACTAATTAACCAATGCTTATTCATTCCACTTAGACAGGAAGAGCCTTCAGACCCCCTGCCCCACAAACCCACTAGCAACAGAGTTTTGCACTTGCTGTTATTACGGACTCTCTGGCGTTAGCATGTCTTGGTCAGAGATTGATAGGCATTCTCTAGAAATGGCCAGCCAGACGTTTGTTAGACACTGTAATCGGAGAAGAAAAAGCTTTAGTATTAAACAGAAGTGTAGATAAATGAATTTGGATGAAGTTGGCTGACATTATGGGTGAATTACCCAGTGTTTAAAGAGAATGAAGACATTTAGTGAATTGTAATATTTATTTATTTTCAGCACAAGTGAGTATCTGTGTATTTGTGTCAGCAAATTACACACTGATTAGTTGTGCTGGCTGAACAATGAAAGTTTGTCTGTCTGCACCTTCTCCATTATATAAGCTAAGCAATTACTTATTAAAGAAATGGGATTACATGGGGCAAATAGTTTTATGTGCTTGCAAAATGTTAATGACTAAATCATAATGTTTTTGATAACATTTTTAGTAGCTTAATATTTTAAATTGCTTTTAAAATTGAAATTAGTTCATTTATATGCGTGAATGAACATTGGGCTGAGCATTCGTTTTTTTTTAATACTTTTTATTTTTTAAAGGTGATTACCAACCTTGTGAAAATGCTGAAAGCCCGAGATATTCGAAGACCGTTCTGTCCATCGGGTCATTGGCTGTCTGAGGAGGTCAACATCAGAGCAGACAAGGTAAAATTCATTTGCTGATCATATGATTAAAACCTACTAAAACAGAATTAATAGTTTTGCTGTCAAGTGTCAGCAATTTATTTTGATAAAAAAAATAGTAAAAATCCAATGCAAACTAGACAAGTATGGATGTGTTTCTAAAAAAATAAGTTCAAATGTGTATATGTGCAGAATCACCAATAGCTTGTAGTCATCTAACTTGCTTTTTTATAATAATATTTGTTTGTAGGTGACTCAGCTCTATGTGCCCTCTGCGAGACATGTGTGGAGAACCAGGAGAATGGGACGAATCGGACCGCTTCAGTCCACATTAGATGGTAAGACTTATCCATATGGAGAACAACCTCAACTGAAGTGTAGTGGAAAACAAACACGCACACACACACATACACAAAAACAAGAAGTAATAATGACAGCTAGTCAAGCAATTTCATTCCAAAGCAAGTCAGAATACTCATGAGGGTGTTGACGCTAACTAGTACCAGTGTTTCTGGTCTTTTCCATGCCACCCTGGTGCATATGTGCTTAAAAATTCAATTAGCCTAAGGCTGGACACATCTGGCTGCCTGTTTGTCCGGACCTTTTTCATTTCCCTAAATGCACTTGCGAGGTAGTGACGAATGACTCCTGTATTGACCATGCTGTGCCATATTTCTCCACCAAGATGGCCCCTTGATGGCTGGTTTGTGGAGAGAGAGAGGACTGACTAATTGAGTAGAATCATTCCACCATGCAAGCAACGTATTAGATGAATGACGCTTCTCATCTGCTGCTACGGCAGTTTTTTTCCTGCGGTCGAAACGTTTGTAGGACGGAGTTTTAATACAAAACAAACGTCCCTGTAATGGAGGGAGAGGACAGGTGGATGGGCAAATCACTGCTGAGTTAATTAAAAGTGTGTGGCAGGAAAGACAGAGGGGGATTGAGTGATCTTTAATGGGATGCTCTGTAAATACTGCATTCAGCAAGGCTACCAGACTTCACTCAAGGTTGTGCAAGTGTACAGATGCAAATGAAGTAGGTACATGATCCTTTAGAAATTATTCTAATATGCTGATTTGCTGCTCAATAAACATTTCTTAGTATTGACAATATTGAAAAGAGTTGTGCAAATTGTGCAGTTTTTAGTGGATGCTTTAATATATTTTTTTCAGTATTCTTTGTTGAATAGAAAGTTTAGAAGAATCTTTTGTAACATTAAAAATGTATTTACTGTTTCTTTTAATGTGTCCTTCCTTTTATAAATAGAAGTATTCATTTCATTTCTGGTTAAAAATCTTACCGCAAACTTTAAAATGGTAGTGTATAATTGTAATTTTTGTTATGTTAAGGTGGGGAGGAATTTGGGTTTACTGGTAGTATATTTGTCTGGATGATGAATAGAGAGCTTTAGAGATTGACTGTCGACAGGATAGATGAAGATGGAGGCAGATGAATTCTGTGCTTTTTGAGTGAATTGCTTGTCGCTGTTGTCTTTTGTTGTAAATTAAAGAGCAGATTGATCAATTATTGTATAGATTTCTAAAGGTGAAAATTTCTGAAGGTGTTTTCATTATATTTGTAGATGTTTATTTTATTATTTATATGCGTAAGTGCGAGGGCAAGAAGTGACAAGGGAAATGACGCAAGAGGATTTTATCTTGCATCACCCGCATTGAACATATCAGTAGATCTTTGTTGAGGATATTTGGCTTTAGAGATGTTGTAGTTTTGAAAAGAGATATAGGTTAAAAGATTACTTTAAGAATAAAGGTTTACAGAAATTGTTTTTGTGTTCCTCACAGTTGGACTGGAGCCTCCACCGTTGTCAGTATCAGAGGAGAGACATTTGGCAATCCTCACCGAACTTCCATTTGTTGTGCCCTTTGAAGAGAGAGTGAAGGTAAGACAGCCATCACTGGTATGGTGTGGAGTGTTTTGTACACAACACTTCAAAAATTCAAATTTCAGTCATCTGTGAATTAAAAAGAAGGTTAACAATTGTAATTAGGTGATGACATTGTTTTGTGCTTTAGATATGAAATGCAGGTGAAAATCTAAAGGTAATACATGCCTAGATTCTGATGTGTTAAATGATGTTAATCAGCTAAACTTTGTTCATTCTGCTTTTAGATCTTTCAGAAGTTGATCTATGCTGATAAGCATGAAGTGCAAGGAGAGGGCCCTTTTTTGGATGGCGTTAATATCACCATTCGACGGAACTACATCTATGAAGATGCTTACGACAAATTATCCCCCGAGAATGGTAAACAAGGCAAACCGATCCCTTCTGACATGCTGAAAACTCTTAATAAAAAGCATTTAGCACAACGAGTGTGGCTTTCTTAGACACGGAGAAAAAGACATTAACCTTGCTTAGGAATTAGATACAGTAATTCATAGCAGCTGTCAATAAAAGCTGTTTAGATGATTTAGGGCAAGCCGTCTTGAGTGTTAGAACTTGCCTCAGGTCTCTTAGAAAGTCTCTTTAGTTATATAGCGTCAGACTTTTATAAATAACAAGGAAAAGTTTCTGACATTTGGATTTATTTGATTTTTAAACCTTTTTGGCAAATATTTTTTTCTGACTGAATTGTGGAACATGATAAATATATTTGTTTATCTCCATTTCAGAGCCTGATCTTAAGAAGAGGATCAGGGTTCATTTGCTCAATGCACATGGGCTAGATGAAGCTGGCATTGATGGAGGAGGAATATTCAGAGAGTTCTTGAATGAGCTGTTGAAGTCAGGCTTTAATCCTAACCAAGGCTTCTTCAAGACAACTAATGAAGGTCTTCTCTATCCGAGTCCCACTGCAGAGATGCTTGTGGGAGAATCCTTTACCCGGCATTACTACTTCCTTGGCAGGATACTGGGAAAGGTAAGACAAGTATTATTTGATGTATTGCACTACACTGTAACATTTTTATCTCTTCACAGACCACAGGTCATCACAGAATCCGTTTAATTTTAGAAACACCTGTTCTCTATTTATTTTAATTATTTTACTGCAAATTAATGATGTATTTATTTAAATTAAATAATATATTATTGAAAACTCTTGCAGTGGCTTATCTTTGGATTTTCTCCTAGTTGTCTGATTTGTCTTTTATGGCTCGTTTCCACTGAGCGGTTCGGTACAGTACAGTACGGTACGCAATTATTTCCGTTTCCACTGTCAGAAGTTGTGAATGGTACCAAAATAGCAAACCGTACCGTACCACCTTTTTGGTACCCTTCCATTGGGGTACCTACCACAGCAAAGGGTACCAAAAGGGTGGGGCTAAACTCACCGCAGAACATTGATTGGTTGACTAGAATCGTCACTTTTGCGTGATACAAGGGGATAAAGCTTCTCCTTCACTCGTTCCGCTCTGCTGTCCATGAGTGTTGGGCTTATTTACATCAGAGTGCGCAAACACAAAAAAATATAACTGTGTATTTATCATTTTCACACAGACAATAGCCGTTTCTCAATATGCATTCTTGTCTGTTTTTGTGGACTTGTGAAACGTCATTGCCCAAAATCCCGTGTAATTTTCTAAATATTACTGTTATTGTGTCATGAAATGTAGTTTTAAGATTTTTTCAGGCGAGAATGTAATTGTTTAAAACTCAAATCTGCGATTTATTTATAAAGATAGCGCCTATATGAAAATTTGCTATGCCTATTTCAGAGCTCCAGGCGATCAGCGGGCTCTCAGTGCTCATGTATCTGCATAGAGCAGCCTTAGCTCGGCTAGTCCTTCCGACATTTGCCGCTGGCTCTGATGTCTCTGTAGTGATTAAACACGAGATACAATTCATTTTGGGTAGGCTATATTTAACAGGCATTCGTGGTCTCATGAATCTATTATTTATTCCCGGTCATATTGTTTTGGCTGAGCACAAAGTTATGTTTAACTTTATATATTTAATTTGAACTTTACCGTAATACAGCGCTGACTTTGTAGCATACGTTTGACTGAACTGCTTGCTTTTGTCTTTATTTCCTCTTATATAAGCCTCTTATACTTTGTACTTGTGGATGAGTTCTTCTGTGTCATCACGTTCTATTAGTTCTACAGCTTCAGTTTCAGAACTTTCACGCTTAGTAACACATACAGCTGTTCCCTCACCACAGTGCAACAGTGAAAAGGGACCCCCTTTCAAACAGTGTCACGTTCCGAACGCGACATTGCGGTATTTTAAAAATTCATATCATAACAAAAATAAACACCGTTATTCGGTATGCACCGGTATACCGCCCAGCACTAGTACAGCGCTGACTTTGTAGCATACGTTTTACTGAACTGTTTGCTTTTGTCTTTATTTCTTCTTATATAAGCCTCTTATACTTTGTACTTATACTTTTATAATGGCTATTATTGCTCATTAAAACTGACATTTAACAAAAAGAGGCAGAGTTGTGCTTATTGTCGCGGTTCATCGTCGATCGCTACTTTCCGGCATACACCACGCCTATCAAGAAGGGTACTATTGGCAGTGGAAACACAAGCCTGATCAGGGTTACCCGTACCGAATCGTACTGTACTGAACTATACTGTACCGTACCGCTCAGTGGAAACGAGCCATTAATTATATTATAATTGTTAATATAATTAATAAGCATTAATAAAAACATAAAATAATATTTAAATAGTTCTTTTAGTTTATTTTTTAATATATTTTTAAATCTATGTATATTTTATATATTTTTAGAACATTCACTCCAGTGTGAGCTGATTAAAACGATTTATTTATAAAGATAGCGCCTATATGAAAATTTGCTATGCCTATTTCAGAGCTCCAGGCGATCAGCGGGCTCTCAGTGCTCATGTATCTGCATAGAGCAGCCTTAGCTCGGCTAGTCCTTCCGACATTTGCCGCTGGCTCTGATGTCTCTGTAGTGATTAAACACGAGATACAATTAGTTTTGGGTTGGCTATATTTAACAGGCATTCGTGGTCTCATGAATCTATTATTTGTTCCTGGTCATATCGTTTTGGCTGAGCACAAAGTTATTCAGTATGAATATTCTATGGAAAAAAGCCGCTAAAAGGGTCTGAAAGTTGCTAAATCTAGTGCTAAAGTCGCGCTCGTGTGTGTGAGACGCGGGAGCTGATGGCAGGAGGCGGTGGATATTTGTGGTGGTCAATGTGGATATTGTGGATGAGTTCTTCTGTGTCATCACGTTCTATTAGTTCTACAGCTTCAGTTTCAGAACTTTCACGCTTAGTAACACATACAGCTGTTCCCTCACCACAGTGCAACAGTGAAAAGGGACCCCCTTTCAAACAGTGTCACGTTCCGAACGCGACATTGCGGTATTTTAAAAATTCATATCATAACAAAAATAAACACCGTTATTCGGTATGCACCGGTATACCGCCCAGCACTAGTACAGCGCTGACTTTGTAGCATACGTTTTACTGAACTGTTTGCTTTTGTCTTTATTTCTTCTTATATAAGCCTCTTATACTTTGTACTTATACTTTTATAATGGCTATTATTGTTAATTAAAACTGACATTTAACAAAAAGAGGCAGAGTTGTGCTTATTGTCGCGTTTCATCGTCGATCGCTACTTTCCGGCATACACCACGCCTACCAAGTAAGGGTACTATTGGCAGTGGAAACGCAAGCCTGATCAGGGTTACCCGTACCGAATCGTACTGTACTGAACTGTACTGTACTGTACTGCTCAGTGGAAACGAGCCATTACTCACATACACACTCAAACACAAACAGGGTCATTTAGATCAATGCTGAAGGTCAAAGGTCAGGTTCAATCAGTGGTCTCAGGCTGAGTAGCTTAGTTACCATCATGAATCCTATCCATTTGGTTTACGAGGTCACTGCAGTTTAAAGTCAAGTTTATTTGTGGCCTTTTGATCCAAATAATTTTTCCTTTATCTGGGTTTACTTTTGCAAGATCATTTTGTAAATGACATGTAGGAAACCTCCATTAAAACATTAGAAATGTTTGGCTGCATGTAAATCACACTACTTTGTCTAATCGTATCAGTTCTTAAAGTAGTTTTGTAACTTTTATGTAGCTTCAAAAATTAATTCAAAAATTTACAGTGTCCAAGAATTTTCAGAATCTATACATACAGCAGCATTATGTGGTTAATTAAAAGGGTTAACAACATGTGAAAAATGTTGTACAATAACACCATTTTGAGAAGTCTTCTGATTATCCTAATTTTGCCCTGTGTTTTCTATAATGGCTACACCTTGAGGCACAATTTATTGTCGCTATTGTTTTGGCCATCTCTTTTGTGTGTCCACTAGCTGGTATTTATTAGCCGCTAATGTTTTTAAAGTTTCATTAATGCGTATGCCCAGGATTGTTTATCGCAAAGCACATTGGGGGAAGGGTAGATGAATTACCTCATGCCAAGAAGCTCGCTGCTCAATTAGGCTACTCCATTAGCCCATGATTCCACTTCTCTGTTTGTGTAGCCATCGCATTTGGCCGTGGACGCTAAATCAGCTAGCACCATAAATAACAGGCTCCGTGCCGCTGGTAATAGAGTTTTGATCTGTTTTACAGTCACGGGCATCAACACCACTTGTGAAGAGGCAATTCAGGCCACTTATTAGAGAGCTATAATGAACACACACACATATGCACACCTTGTGCGATGGAAGGGACATAACTGAGCTCCTGCCCTGAGGAATGGCTGGCCCCGCCCCCCTACTTTCCTGATCTTATTCCATTCAATTGCCCCCACTCCGTAGTAATGGGCAAAGCAATTAAGGTGACGAGATTAATTTGAATTTGACTTTCAATTAACCCTCCTTCTCTCTCCATAAATATGTGAAGGAGTGGCAGACTGAGTGGGATATTGATATTTGTTTAGTGCTTTTATAAAGACGACCTGTATAGATTACAATTGCGTCACTGTTGCTGTTTGGCTGGGCCCACCAAAGACACACACAGAAACACAGAAAAACTCTTGATTTTACTTTCTGTGATGTATTGCGCTTTTTTTTTTGCAAATTGTGCTGATTTGTCACCAAGGTAATGTTATATAGCTGGCTTTGGTTGAAGATTTTCTCTGAACCTATCAGGAGTATTTTATATATTGTATGCCATTGTTTTAGAAAAAATTTTAATGTGAAAGAGGAAAACTATAAATATTTCTGGCAAAATAAAATCTTTTTTTCTTGTGGGGTTAGGGAAGAAAATACAGATTTGATACAGTTTAGATTTGGGAAATCTATACTTTTTGCTCATTGAATAGAGTTTAGGCATCATTGAAAATGCAGATTTTGTGTGCACCTGCTAACCAGTGCTTTACACAGAATTAGATCCCCTGTCATTGACACGTATGACACATCACACATTAGCCATATTTGCAATATTAAATATTTTGGCTAATTTGATTTTGCTTTCAGATACCTTTAAGAAGTGTAGTACTCTCAGCTCTTTTTAACATACAATTCTAGTTTTCCATTCTATTTTTATACTTTTTTGCTATTTGGTTTTATTATTAGTTTTTCATGATTGCTTTTATGATGTTTATAATACCATTTTGTCTTACTATTGATATATTTAATCTACAGTCTTAAGATGTTTACCAGGTTTGTGACAAATAAAATCTTGAATTTGAACACGAGTAGTTGCTATTACATATTAGCATGTAGACATCATGGGCTGGGTGCATTTATAGATCATGATGTAGAAGAAAACCATGCTTTGACAACATTCAAGTGGATACTTGGGGAAAAAAAGACTTTTAAAGTATCGAGACATGCTTACAGCCATTCAAGCTTTGAAGCCACTTGTATAGAATTACCCCGTTGAATTATTTTCACACGAATACTTCTGCAGTCTGCTCATACCCTCAAATACAAACTGAGTCACAAATACCACGTGTTCTGCAGTTCAACAAGCAGTGCTTAACTGTCCCTCTCCAAAGGGCAACAGAGAGGAAAGAGAAGGTCAGAACTCCTGATTGATGGCAAGTGTTAAATTTTTATTGATTCTTAATGCTGTAAATTTACAAATTTATTTGGCAGAAACAGAAGGCAGCTGCTAAGTTGTTGCCGTTTACTCTCCTGATGGTGCCACAATTTGCATTAATTGCGTTGCCACTGCACTCACTTATATTAAAAGGCCCGGCCATTCATTAATCCTTTTTATCCTAAGTCATTTTGGCACAATTTCTGGCAATAAACACCCATAAATAACTTGAAGGTTTGAAAAATAGTCTGCGTCGTGCCTCTATCCTTATTGCGGCTTCTTCTCAGGAGCGACGTTATTGATAGGTTTCAGGAGGGTGCAGCACATATGTTCCCACAACAGTGCTTGTGGGAAGAATGTTGCTAAGTGGATTATTTTGCATAAAAAATGTCCAATGTTTGAAGTCACACAATTAACCTGTGTTTAGAAAATGCTCTGATTTACAGCCTCTGTGTGTGTTTTAGATGCATGCATTATGGAGATTTGGGAAATTTATAATCCATTTAGCTTATGTGGTCAAGGGATTTTAGTGCAATCATTTATTCAAGGCCTGTATATTTTAATGTCCTCAGATATGGTCTTTTTAGGACTATTGCGGTACTTTAGCTTTTATGACTCACCATCCTTGTGCTTCTTAATGAAACAACAGGTTAATGATAGAGTTGATGTTTTTCAAGTTTGAGCTTCTTCAATTGAAAGTGTCAGAATTCGAGACAGATTAGCCCACAGGATAAAGATATGATTTTGTCAATTACGTAGCTCATATTGGCTTGGCTGCACATTGAACTCCTGGAGGTTGTCTTTAGTTAAATATCTCTCTTTCTTCTGTCCCCCAGGCGCTGTATGAAAACATGCTAGTGGAATTGCCATTTGCAAGTTTCTTCCTGTCCAAGCTCTTAGGCACCAGTGCAGAGGTGGACATCCACCATCTGGCCTCTCTAGACCCAGAGATGTACCGAAATCTGCTTTTCCTCAAGAGCTATGAAGGTGATGTGGAAGACCTCGGCCTTAACTTCACCGTGGTTAACAATGATCTTGGGGAGGCCCAGGTGAACAGCACATCTTTTTTTTTTCAGCACATCTTTTGCTTGTCTTTTGTGTCTCCTCTCTCCCTCTCTTGTTCTCTGGCATTGTTAATGATTGATCTAACTGTTGTTAGTTTTGGCTGATGGAGATAAAGCACGTCTCTGTCTAGACCTCTCTGAAAGAACTTCTCTGTTGACCAGCTCAAACATACCTGCTGGGAGAAAACTGTCTAGCATAGTATTAGAGCTAATCATCCCGCATGATATCTAGCATTGCCACTCCTTACCACCTTACACAGTATATATAATATAAAAAATTCTAAATAAAAAAATTCATGATTAAAAAATTAAATAAAACTATGCCAGAATGGGTAACAGGGTGGTAGATTTAGCCTAAATAGTCATTTAAATAATAGTTGTTATTGATAAACTTGTATTTCCCATTAATAAAAAAATGTTTTTTGATGACTTTTTCTTAAAATAACTGGGGTAACTAAATAAACCTTTATTTACTTTCCCCTTCATTAGCGAGGTAAAGGGTGTCCGTGTGCACTCATTTCCTCTGTGTTCCTCAATTGCCTTCAGCACTTTCCTCTGCAGCTGTACTGTTCCACTTTCAACAAGGAATTAAATCCTCACTGAACCCAGGGTGATGGTGCCTGTCACACTTCCATCTATTTGTGTCTTTTTCCAGGTGGTCGAGCTCAAACCAGGGGGAAAGGACATCCCGGTAACCACAGCCAACAGTATAGCCTACATCCATTTAGTGGCCGATTACCGTCTGAACAAACAGATCCGAGCACACTGCCTGGCCTTTCGACAGGGCCTGGCCAACGTGGTCAACCTGGAGTGGCTGCGCATGTTTGATCAGCAGGAAATTCAGGTAGCAGCACACACACATACTTTACACTGAAAATGCGAGAAAAGGCACATCTGTCTAGATGCACACAATCAGTCATGGGTCAGTAAAGATTATTAATAACAAGATGAGCAGATATTATTGACAGATATTATCACACTGCCTGTCTTTTCTTTACTCCCTACTTTAAACACTGCTATTTGTGTTCATTAATTAAATGTAAACAACTTAAGTCCATCTGTATTTACAGGTACTGATTTCTGGTGCACATGTGCCCATCTGTCTGGAAGACCTGAAGAGATTTACTAACTACTCAGGTACTGCAAGAACATCCATCACACTTTTTATTAGTCACTTCATTTTTTATTTTAGATTTAGCTTGATTTAAGAGCCTTTGTCTTTTTTCTTCCAGAGAAGTCAGGTTGCTATATTGTTTTGTATTCTGTATTTACTAGTAAGTGAGAGCAAAAACACGCACAGGTCAAATGTGAATTTATAGTTTAGTAATTAGTAATAAAGCTTAGTAGTAGATTTTTTGTTTTTGATTTATATTGTTTTTATTTGGTACCGCCCATAAAGACTGGATAACACTACACAGCTTTTACCCAGATTTGAGCTTGATTTGCAGTATGTCAGTCTGTAGATTTTGAGCACTTGACAGATTTCACAGAATATCATGTAGTGTATATTGTGCACAGATAGGTTTTTTTTTTTCAAACTTTTTTTCATTTACATTTATATTGAATCATTTAGCAGACGCTTTTATCCAAAGCGACTTACAACTGGGGAATACATAAAGCGATTCTTCTTAAAGAGGCAAACAGACACAGGAAGTGCTAATAATACCAATTTTCAGGCATTTGTTCAAATAAGTACAAGCTAGAAAGGGAAGGAATAAATAAAGAGAGAGACAAAGTTATTTATTTTTTTCAATTTAAGATGAAGTCAAGTAGCACCGAAAGAGATGAGTTTTCAGCTGTCGCTTGAAAATTGTCAGGGATTCAGCATTCCGGATAGGGGTGGGAAGATCGTTCCACCAGCCAGGAACAGTGAACGAGAATATTCTGGAAAGTGATTTTGAGCCTCTCTGTGATGGTACCACGAGGCGTCGCTCACTAGCGGATCTCAGACTTCTGGAGGGGATGTAGATTCGTAGTAGTGAGTGGAAGTAGGCGGGTGCTGAGCCTGTGGCTGTTCTATATGCATCAATGTGTTGAACTTGATGCGAGCCGCACCCGGTAGCCAGTGCAAGGAGATAAAGAGAGGTGTAACATGGGCTCTTTTGGGCTCGTTGAAGACCAGTCGTGCCGCTGCATTTTCCATGTTTGATATTTTGCGCAAATTTTAGAACACATTGTTTTCATTTCTCATGTACCTCCTAGCAGTGAGGCGTATGTTTCTGCATGAGTTAGTTGTGTTTAGAACGACTTAACAGTTTCGTACTATGTGATCCTCAGTCAGTTGTTTACTGTATGATGCCTAGTTTTTTCAAAGGTGGCAAGATTATGATGCCTAGTATTTCAAAAGTTGTTCAGATTTTAAAAGTTGTGTAGTGTATTCCAGCCTTAAGTGTTAACTTAAATGACTCAACTTTTCTTCTACTTAAAACAGGATGTAGTAAAAAAGGTTTCAGTTTTAGATCCATGTTTTGAAGTAAAGCACATAGCAGACATGCAGTATTCATAAGGGTTTAGTTACGCAGGACTTAGACTTTTAGTCCCTGCATTATATTCTTAACCTTTTTGTTTTTCTCAACTGTTGCTGCATTACTCAGGTGGTTATTCAGCCAATCATCCAGTGATCAAAATTTTCTGGGATGTGGTGGAGAGCTTCAGCGATGAGGAGAAACGCAAGCTGCTCAAGTTTGTTACAAGCTGCTCACGACCTCCGCTCTTAGGCTTCAAGGTCAGTGAGGGCCAAAACCCTCTGAAAATATGAATTTAATGAATTAACTTTTGGCATGTAGAAGACATCTGACGCTCTGTTCTGTTGTGTCTGAACTCTTTAAATACAAGTTAATGATTCATCTGAGATTGTATGGTGAAAAGTGAAATGTACAGACATGACCCAACTCGGCTGCATCGATATGACTTGCACCTCTGTTATCACAAATGGAGTTGAGCTGAAGTTCACGCCAACTCACACCTGCTGATGATTTTGTCCCATTTTCTACATTTGTATTCAATAAAGTTATCAGGATCCCCACCGCAAAGAATCCTACTCGCTGTAAGGTGTGCTGCCTTAACGGAGAAATAATGAAGTGAACAGAATATGTTTTGTCGCAGTATATCGTCATTAATTTACGCAAGGCTGTATGAGCAAACAGGCTCATTGTAACAAATCATTTTCACATTATAACAACTATCAGGATAGGCCTTATCTGGGCCTCTATTTGTGCTAAAGAGGTTGTGACCCGTAGCATTGTAATGCTATTTGAGGCTTTGCCAAGTGCCACTGGGTGTGTAAAATCCATCTGACTGATAAAAAACCATTGAACTTTCAATGGCTCTCACTTAATGTTGACTGGATCTAGCGTGTAATAATCAAAGGCCAGAAAATATTGGTATGAGAGAATAGCATCTGACAGCTTACAAATTATTCTGCCGACTTCATCTACCAACAATTTTCTTATTTAACAGGATTATTATTGTCTCAGTGTCTAGGAATGTAATCTTAAGTATTTTTCTTGTATGTCACAGTGTGAAGTCTGTCAGTTGTGCTTATTACACTCAGCAAAATCTGGAGAACAGAAACATCATTAAAATGTGTTTTTATGCCTTACTTAGACTAACCAAGGACAGTAATTGTCATTTCATTGACTTTATTACATATTTTAATAGCTGTCATCAGTTTAAAGCGGATTACTTTAGAGCCTGTATGAATTTGGGTGGGGGAAAATCATGGCTTCCGAGCAATTCCACAGATATGTGTTACTGCCAAAATTAAAGTGGGGCTGTTTAATGAATTTGACTTTGGTGCAGACACTCTGAGGAACAGATGGAAAGGAGGAGTAACAGGAAAAAGACGAAGAGAGACAGATCAAGGGGAGATGGCCTCCCACCTCGTCTGCCTCTTCAGCCAGCTCAGCCTTAATTAGGTGCCGTTAAACACCCCAGAATTCATTAGGGGAGAAATAGCCCTGTCATGGAGAGCTATTTAAAAAAGATGATGGATACCCTTTTTTCAAAATGATGGCTCCCATCGTGACGCTTTCTCGATAAGCAATGATACTTTAATACCTTAATTGTTAGAAAAATTGGCCGGTTAAAGCAGGTTTAATCAGGTTCATTTTGGGGTTGAGCCTTGCAGCCTCGTGGAGAATTTTTTCAATAGGCCTATCTTGTTGTTCTTCCAGTAACCTTTCCCAGATCTGAAAAGTTCTTCTAAGTGTAGATTTTGCGTCAATGTGATATCAGGGTGTGGTTTGTTGCATTTATCTGCACAGATGCTGCCTGATTAAAATGTGTATTAGTATTATTTTTTTTAATTATTATTTAAACATATTTGTGACCCTGGACCACAAAACCAGTCTTAAGTCGCTTGGGTATATTTGTAGCAATAGCCAAAAATACATTGTATGGGTCAATATTATCGATTTTTCTTTTATGCCAAAAATCTTTAGGATATTAAGTAAACATCATGTTCCATGAAGATATTTTGTAAATTTCCTACCGTAAATATATCAAAACTTAATTTTTCATTAGTAATATGCATTGCTAAGAAGTTGTAAGAACTTAATTTGGACCACTTTAAAGGCGATTTTCTCAGAATTTTGATTTTTTTTTTGCACCCTCAGATTCCAGATTTTCGACAAATATCGTCCTATCATAACAAACCATACATCAATGGAAAGCTTATTTATTCAGCTTTCAGATGATGTAGAAATCTCAATTTAAAAAAAATTGACCCTTATTTTTTGTGGTCCAGGGTCACATTTATTACTAAACAACCAGTCACTTGACATACATGAAGACAACTTGTAATCAGTGGTTTTGTCTACACTGGATGCGGTGCTATGAGACACTGACAGGATACTGATGCTCCATTTTATTTCTGACATCCTCCATGTGTTTGCGCTAATTCTAACAGTACAAATGGATTTGAAACTTTGGCTTTCGGTGTTGAGCTGTACGGTGTGGCACGTCAATAGTCGCAACCAGTGTAGACACAATGTTACACTGTGTGATCCTTCACTGATTTTTAAGAAATACAGGGTGGGTGAAAAGTAACTAGGCATTAAAAATTGGTAATAAAGTCCATATTTCTAATACAAGTTTATTGAAACACACTGTATATGTACTTCATTACATAGGAAAATGAAAGCAAATCTTTAAATTTCAACGTAGGCACCGGTAGATTCAACCAGTGATACTACAAGTTCTATAGTCATTAAATATTGCCTAGTTACTTTTCACCCACCCTGCAGTTTACTCAAAATGAAGACTTGCTGAAGATGTACTCACCCTTAGGTCATCCAAAATATTGAGTTTGTTTCTTTGTCGGAACAGATTTGGAGAAATGTAGCATTACACCACTTGCTCACCAATGAATCCTCTGCAGTAAATGGGTGCCATCAGAAGGAGAGTTCAAACAGCTGATAAAAACATCAGAATAATTCACAAGTAATTCACACGACTCCAGTCCGTCAATTAATGTCTTGTGAAGTGAAAAGCTGAGTATGTGTAATAAACAAATCCATCAAGATGTTTTTAACTTCAAACTATTGCTTAGGGCTAAAACACGAGTCCTCTATCCATAATACTGCGTTTCTTCAGTGAAAAAGTGTCTCATCTGAATCAGGAGAGAAATCTGCACAGATCAAACTGTGATTGCAAGCAAAATCAGTCTTAAACCAATAGGTCAGTGGATTTTGATGTGAGAGATGATGGACTTTTTTACTGGAGGAAACGTTGTTATTATTATGGATAATGGACTTTTAAGAAGCGGTGGTTTATAGTTAAAGTGCCTTACTGATGGATTTGTTTCTTGATAGACCAGAGTTGTGTGGGTTATTGTGTATCAGCTGTTTGAACGTTCATTCTAACAGCAGCACCCATTCACTGCAGATGATCTGTTGGTGATATAATGCTACATTTCACCAAATCTGTTCATATGAATAAACAAACTCAACTACATCTTGGATGGCCTGGAGGTGAGTACATTTTTAAGCAAATGCTAATTTTTAGGTCAGCTATACAAGTACACTAAGCTTGTTTAATTTCTAGACGGTCATAACTGAAATGAATCATAAATTGCAGTGAGTCAGATGTTGATTCAGTAACCGCCCTGAGTGATTCAATGAGTGTGAAAAGATGAAGGTGAAAGATGTGTCAGACTGATTTAACCCAGTAACGTCTGAGAGTTTAAAAGAACTGGCTCAGAAAGTGAATTGGACAATACTGGTCACTCTGTAGGTTACTGCCCACAAAACTCAACTCAATAAAAAGACATTTTGTGCCTTTATTTTATTTTTTTAGTCTTCACATTTGATAAAGATTGCAATCTCACATTCACTTGACTAAAATATGATTTAGTTTGTCACTGGAAAAAGCTGTTTTTTTTTTTTTTGGTCCATCTCTTATTTCTTCCATGTATATTATCAAATGTGTTTGTTGAGTATTGTTTTATGTTGTCATTGATGTTCATGAGACTTTCTCCTTGTCTCTAGGAGCTGTACCCAGCCTTTTGCATCCATAACGGAGGCACTGACCTGGAGCGTCTCCCTACCGCTAGCACTTGCATGAACCTTCTCAAACTGCCAGAGTTCTGTGACCCTCAGCCAATGAGGAACAAGTTGCTCTATGCTATTGAATCCTCTGCTGGCTTTGAGCTCAGCTGAGGAATACGTCAACTCCTAGATGGCCTTGAAACCCAGACAAGAATATTCGTCTTTTGTCGTGGTGACCAGATAGGAAATGATCAGAATGGACAGACAGTGTGTCTGTGTGGATCTACAGAGATTTGGAGAAGGTGCTGGGGAACAAACAGTTTGAAGTTGTGGCACGGACAAATATATGCTCAGTTTTATTTTTAGTTCAAAGAAAGTAATCTTGTAAATAATGCATTTATAAATTCAAAGCAACATCCAAGAAGGCGTCCATTGATCAAAAGCACTAACATTGAACAGGAACATCTGAATGTTGGAGATACAGAAGGAATAAAATGGCAACGCAAAATGTACTTGTAGATTTTCCTTGGTTTTGCGTTTCTAACGCCAGAGTGGATGTTTTTAGACAATGTCGTTTTACGGTTTCAACTGCTCTTTGTCGCCATAGTGCAGCACAATTTGAGTGTCTACCAATAAAATGTATGCATTTGCCTCACTAACTCAAGTCCAGTACACTGTACTAAACAGTTGGCTTGGTTTTAGGTCACACCGCTTCAGGTATACAAATACGCATACAGGGCTTGCTAATGGTGTAGCATTCGCTGAAAACTCTGAGCTATTTTCCAGGCTAAAAATTATTTTGTGGCTAATGAGCCACCAACAAAAGAGTTTAATAGATTAGAGTCATGGCAGGATGCGTGAGGTTAACAGGGCTGGTAGAACAGTAGCACAGAAAATGGTGTGTAGTCGTCTTGTTTTAATCATATAATAAAGATGACTTGAATTGGCTGATTCAAGTCAAGTCACCTTTATTTATATAGCGCTTTTAACAATACAGATTGTGTCAAAGCAGCTTTACAATATCAAATATAGGAAAATAGTGTGTCAGTGCAAAAGGACAATAGTAAACACTCAATTTTCAGTTAAAGGCAGTTTATCATTGAATTCAGTGATGTCACCGTCCAGCTCAGTTCAGTTTAAATAGTATCTGTGCAATCAAGTCGACAATATCGCTGGAAATGAAGTGTCCCCAACTAAGCAAGCCAGAGGCGACAGTGGCAAGGAACCAAAACTCCATCGGTGACAGAATGGAGAAAAAACCTTGGGAGAAACCAGGCTCAGTCAGGCGGCCAGTTCTCCTCTGGCCAGACGAAACCACCAGGTTGATCCATGCTGCAGCAAAGTTAGATTGTGCAGGTAGACATTCACCTAATAGAGAAAAAAGAAATTGTGAATTGTGTAATCATGTATTCCACACATTGGGCCTTGGCATTATAGCAATGGATATGATGCTGACATTTGTGCAATAAAATAAAAACAGACTTTGAGGACATTCAAGTGGTTCAAGGGGAGATTTTTAATAAGTCAAATTGATGAGTGAAGGAAAAGTGTGACTTCAAAGCCAAGACCTGCGTACTGGACACTACTCCAACATCTGCTGTAGCACAGAACAATTCAGTAAACTGAAGAGGATTGAAGTATTTCCTGTCAGCATCCTCTGGTTGCCTTTTTTGCTGCTACTTCACTGGGTTCAGCATGGCTGTAAGGACATGTTGGTTGGTTGGTTGGCAGAGAGCTGATGATGATGGATATGTGAATATGTATTTGTCTACATCTTTTAATGTTCACGTTCAGCATCTGTACAAGACTTTTAATTTCTCTCTTCACCTTGTCAGTAATAACCTGTCTCCCAACATCTGTTAAATGAGAATATATGACTTCACACAGGTGCTGAATATCTGATTGTTTACAAACACTGATGTGTAGAGTTTGTCTTGATGTTGGTGATGAGAAAGGGCAAGCAAAGTTTGTGTGAAGATGTGCGTTTACTGACTTTAAGTGTATGTGCCCTGAACGATTTTTTGAATGACAACAAAGACAGGTGTTCAATCTATGTATCAGAGTGTATGGCAATGATTAAATATGTTTTGAGTTTTTATTTGCACTGGAGCTATCAGCATCTTTTGTTAAAATGGAATATATTTAAGAAACAACTGTGGGATGAGAATTTCATTTTGAGTTTTAAGGCCTTTGACATATAATTAAAGAAACATCCAGTGATGGAACAAGAAAGGAGGCTAGTTGAGACCACAAATGCATGATCTGTACGACATAAATTAAGGGTGTGTGCATTTGACATAAATCTAATAGGGTCCTGCTATGAGAGCAAGAGATGGCTGGAGAGCATGGGGAACTTTTTATTCCTCCTTGGATCATCTCCATATATTCTGCCAGCCTCCGCCTCTAGACTCCCTCTCTGACCAAATCTCCAGCATTTTAGCAGCAATCTCAGACGGGGGTAATTGGGTCTTAAAAAACCAACTTGTCCTATAGCTATGAAGGATTGGTCTTAATTATGGGGAGATTTATTTGGGCCTATTACCTTATAATGGATTATAGCTCGCAAACTTAATGCCTCTGGTCATCAATCACATCCACGTGCAAAGATATACCAAAGGTATTTTATATAGCTTTTAGAAATGTTATTATTGCATTTAGGGTCAAGTCATTTCACACCAGAATATGAAAGCTTAAAGATTTAATTTCAGAGAATTCATTAGGAACAATTAATGGGTTTTATAAAACCCTTTATGTTTAACAGGGTCTGATTGCTTTTATTAAAGGGAGGGAAAAGATCGCTTAATGTAACTTGAGTTGTGTTAAAGAAATCGTGTTTTGTGAAACATGTATTAAATCTATAATTTAATTTAAATATATAATTTCTCTTTGTCAGTGTACAGAAACTCCTACTTCAGTAGCACTTCCATAAATTTGAGAGTGTTATTCCTAACCATATTCTGAAGGTTTTTACAGATGGGTTTGCTCATGTATAAGTATACAACAGTTTATTCATAAAAAATTGAGTGATAAAAGGGATATCCTGCATCCCCTCTGTAAAAACCTTTGACTCTAATATGTCTACAAAATGAAACAAGAATTATGAACCTAGCTATATCCAATGTTCAGATTTTTGTTCTGGAAATGTATACAAATTCGTGCATATTTAATTATATTATGTGCAATTTGCATATTTAAACACTTCAGAACACTTGAAATACAAAAAATGTTAGACATTCTTAATGTAATTAGTTACTTTTTTTACCCTTATTCACCTGGGGTGTTTTTTTTTTTTGGTCACATAACCTGATTTTCCACACATCTGGATAGATAGATAGATAGATAGATAGATAGAATTGACAGTAACATGATTACAGTTAACTTAATTTCTAAATAAAAATCAACAGCCGCTGTTCTGTCGATTTGTCTACCCTGTCAGATTTTGTTACCTCCCATTAAAACAGTGGGTAGTACAATTCGACAACGAAAAATGCTACCTGTAAAATTATGGTTCATTAACATCTACACCTAGCCCAACTCTAAACCTACCCTTACAGTAATGCAAATACAGTAATTATGTGTTATATTCGCGGTTGTAGCTACAGGAAACCAACAATAAATAATTTGTGTTTTATTAAAGTCTGCACCTACCCCAACCCTAAACCTACCTTTACAGTAATGCAGATACATTAAATATTGTTATTCAGCGTGAGAAAAAGGACGCAATATTGATGTGCGCATGCGCAGTAAACCCTGGTAGGACAATCTGACGGGTAGGATAAAATGTCAGGACACCGCATAATAAAGATGGACAGAGAAATTCGTTTACTACATCTTTAGAAGACTAAGTGTGCCTCCCTGTGGAGGTTTTTTTGACACAACTTGACACAACTAGAAAGAACTTTTGTATCAGTTTTAATATGCAGCAGTTATAAACCAAGACCTCTGTTATTACAAGATAAGAGTCTAACTGAATCATTGATATTGGAAAATACACATATTGGTATTATCTCACTGGCTAATAGTGCACTATAATAGCGTGGTTAAATGGATACATGAGCAAAAGAAAGAAATGTTCACCATCTGCTGGCCAATACTTGGAAATGCAACACGTGCTTCCTAGATAATAGTATACAGAACACAGCTTTAAAGCTGTAGCTAAAAATCTACATGTCTACATCTTTTAATGTTCACGCAGTATTTGTACAAGATTTTTTATCTCTCTTCACCTTGTCTGTAATAACATGTCTCCCAATATATGTTAAATGAGAAATATGACATGATACAGGTGCACATGTCTACATTACACAGTCACTATAGTTGAATACTTTTCTGAATGTTTTATTCACTTCTGAAGATTCCTATGCAGCTTGAGAAATTTGTCTGTTTTAGTAGGCTAATTTTGTAATTTATCTGATATCATTATACTGTTTTTACTGTTTGAAGTGTATGTTATGCCCCTGTTCAAATATGAAATGTTATTAGATTTAAAAGTATGAGTGTTTCCACAATTATTGTGTAATAAGAACATAATAAAGCATTTCAACTAACAAATAAAAATAATTATCTACTTATTTTAAGCCATTTTTAGTACGATACTCAGGGGAACAGAATGAAACCAAAGGGATTCTGCTGCACTTTCACACACTAACATTCTTTAATAGAATGCAGCCTTACCAGATGTTCTTTCAACACATTCTTCTGACTTTTTACGTCTGTATGAAATAGCATAATGCTCTCTTAACCAGTTCTAACATGGGTCTGTCTGAATGTCTGAATCATGTCTGAATCAAGTCCTGAATCAAATTCCAGAACAAGCTTTTTGGAACATTCTTTTGCAAAAAAATAAAATAAAATTAAAAAAAAACACAGGACTCACTCATGAATAATCATCCTTATTCCTTATCTTCAACCTCCAGTCCAGACCTTCACAGGCGGCAGCAGGAGAGGCAAAGGCAACAAGAATTCAATGCCTGCATCACATCCTGCCTACTAAGATGCAATCATTTGGTTGAATTCTGAAGGAATCATAAACAATATCTGCCTGTACCTATAATAGCCCATAATTCTGGGAAAAATAAAAACTGCATTTGAAGGAGCAGTTAAATACACATTGCAGTCACTAAATAATGTGCATGGTAAGCACAAAAAGCTCATATGGATTTGTTCTAGAATCTAGGTCATTAAAAATGGAGTTCTGGTGACTGAGAGAGCTGGTTTCAGGCACACACCCAGAGAGAGCAGTCACAGATCTCACCTCTCCTGACCTCACCCTTTCCTCCACCTGTAAAGGTGAAGCTGCACTTTCACTTTCTACTTCACATGACCTCAAGAGCATGGCCTTCACTAACCTTAACTTGTGTCTTCTGATTATATGCAGATAAATATTAGTTTTACAAAAAAAAAACAAGATTTTGTTTAAAAAAAAATAGACTTCGTTCTATTGCGTAATGCACAGATCTGCTGAAACATATATAAAATTAATCCGTTTCCCTCAAAAAGTCGTTTGACATTTCCCCATGTTACAAAACCATTAGCTAGCTGACACATCGCACTTATTGAGCAATCCCCTTCAGCTGTTTGGGTAACAGGAAGTGACGACGAAACTGCACTAGAATCAGGTCGGCGGATTGTTGGAGAACACTAGCGACATCTCAATAAGAGTCACACATCTGCTCATCCTTGTCTGTCACACAGGGAGCTTGTTCTGATCACCTGAGCCTATTTTATAAACGGACAGACTTCGGACCAAACAGAAGAATTCCTTCAGGGGCACTATTACAAATAAAGAAACTCGACCTTATCTTTGAGATACTCGGCGGAGGTCCGAAAAAGCAGCGGGATAAGGACATTTGTCTCCGTTACATAAGTTTGGTGAGTTTAAAGTTGGTTAAAGGTTTTTCGTTTGGCTATGAAAAGGAGATGAAAAACATTTACAGTCAGTGTCTCAAAACCTAGTCAGCTGCCTACCCAGACAGCATCCTTGGCACACTCGCCTATACGTTCAGTAACTGCGAAAATTTGATGGAAAATGATCAGTGCTACATTCAGTTGTCAAATAATTTATTTTATTTATGTGTGTAAACTGACGCATGCATGTGAAACGATTTGAAACTGGCTTGACTTTCTAGAAGTTTCTGCGTCTGATCACACCTGTAATCTTGTGTCAATCAAATGTCATATGAACCTGAGGCTACGTGTGGTGGAGATTGTTTCCACGATTAGTTCTGATGGTGTTTATAGAAATTATACACAAACTTAAAGAGATCACATTGCCCTTCAATCACTTCCATGTAGAACAACATAAGGACTGGGAAAAATCTAGAAAATGATCTGAAGACTGTTCATGCATGGCAGTGGACACCTGTGTTTGTCGAAAGTACCTGAGGTCATCTCTGCTTTCACTTTTAGTAGGAAGTACTAGTGTTTCTCTCTCTTAAGCTCATCTGCTATATAACAGATGTGGTAGTTGAGCTAGCATTCTTATATTGAAAGAATGACAATGAGCTTGATTTGTTTCTTTAAATTAAATACATTGTTGATTATTTGTGACCGAGGACCACAAAACCGGTCATAAGGGTATTTTTTTTAAAATTGAGATTTATCATCATCTGAAAGCTGAATAAATAAGCTTTTTGTTAGGTTAGGACAATACTTGGCCGAGATACAACTATTTGAAATTTTGGAATCTGAGGGTGCAAAAAAAAAATCTAAATATTGATAAAATCGCCTGTAAAGTTGTCCAAATTAAATCCTTAGCAATGCATATTACTAATCAAAAAGAAAGTTTTGATATATTTACGGTAGGAAATTTACAGAATATCTTAATGGAACATGATCTTTACTTAATATCCTAATGATTTTTGGCATAAAAGAAAAATTGATCATTTTGACCCATACAGTGTATTTTTCGCTCTTGCTACAAATATACCCATACTACTTATGACTGGTTTTGTGCTCCAGGGTGACATTTTGTGAACTATGGTCTGTTGTCTTTGAGGTTTTGGTCTGCAATTTCAAACTAACACATTTTCATATTTAGGCATGCTTAATAAGGTCTTGGTTTCATTTATTATGAGATCCACAGTTGACAGCTAAATACATAATTCTTACATTTCAGTAGAGTGTAGTGTTGTCCATTAAGGACAGTAGCTAGTTTAGAATGGCTTTACTTAAAATGATATACTACCTTTCAAAATTAATGTTGGAGAAAAGTTGTTAAATTCTTTTCACCTTAATCAGGGGGTAAAATAGATAACTGGGGTAGCATAAGTCAGTTTATTGATGCTATAAAATGGCGTAAGATGTGATGGCCTTCATTATGAAGTGAACCAAAAAAATGTCCCTTTTGTTCTCTGTGCTGTCAATGTGTCTCAGAGAGATCAATGCTTTCAAAGGTGCCCAGTGTAGGTTTTGCCTTTGTCACACACCTTTGCCAAATAATGATTTCCATTGTCCTAGGTAGCAGTGCCTCAACTGTTAGTCACATTGACAAACACATGCTCTGTCAAATAGTGTCTCCTCCTGAGTTCTCATAGAAGGAAAAATAAAAGAAAGCAAATGGCCACATTGGCAGATTGTATTGTAATTATAATGGCAACACCTGGCCAACAAATCCAGCTCTTTAATCTGCTTATCTGCTCTTGCCTCCAAGCATCTCTGTAAACACACCTACATCCTGATCCTATCATACTCGCTTACTTTTAGGACCGTTCCTCATGTGCACCTCTTTACATGTAGAAGTCTAATTTAGCCTTTTAAACCACTGAACCAGTTTCTGCTAACAAAACTGGCTGAGCAGTGGTCAGATTTGGCGCAAGTTATTGCAGTCAAGTGATCTGCTGTGAGCTGAACTGACAGCCCCTTTTAGTGCCACTATGAGAAGCCAGAAAACAAGCTCCAGAGAATTCAGCAGCCATTTCACATCTGTTCACACATTTGTGAGCTTGCCCTGACTGCTGTTTCATGACAAGTAGCTAAGGAATGTTCAACAGAGGTTTGGAAGAAGATAGAAGAAAGATGATGATGATCAAGAGAGGACTGTTGCTTAAAAGTGTGTTTCCATGAAGAGGCTGTCTCAAAAAGGTTAACCAGATTGACTGGAGCTGTGAGTCAGGAATGTTGGCTGTGGGGCAGAAGGTGTGGTTTAAAAGAAAAGCACTTAATGATCTAGTGGTGGTTAAAGAAGGCAGATGAAATAGTGCCGGTGTATTGTGAGTATTAAGATTATGTCCTGTTACCAGTGAAAAGGAAATTTGTATCTGTTGCAGAAACTGGGCCATCAGTCACTGACAAAATTCTGCATATCTACCGCCCTTTTGTTCTGTCCATTCGGTAAATAATTTTTCTAATTTGATTGTGCTTTTAGTTACCAACAGCACGCTTCTCTTAACACAGGTTTCCAAATTTAAATCCATTCCACAGAATTCCTCAGATTATACCCTAAAATCAGCACATAAATAATAATAAAAAACAATCTTTTTTTTTTCCGCAGAAACAGATTTTCAAATTTAAATTGTCTTAATGGTTATAAGTGTTCTGTGTGTATTTTTTGTGTGTGTGCCATTTGTACAGTAGATGTTTCTTAGAGACTAAACATTGCCTAAAATTGTTGTGAAATTTGAGTGTGCTGGACTGGCCTACAGGTATATGATATAATCTTCCTTTCTGTTGTTAAGCTCCAAGGTTTAAATAATGGCAATACAAATCATGTTGTGTTTTTCAGTGCCTTGGTAAGCATTATTTATCCCTTTGAGCAGTGAGCAATGGACATTCATTTTGAAGAAATGTTATCTTGCATTCAGCTAAAGGGAAATAAATGCAAACAGAGCATTGCGCAAAAGACAAAAACAAAAGTTGTTTTTGTTGTACATATCAATTAAAATTAAATTAAGGGTTGAATACATTGCCCCTATTTGCAGTCATTGATCATCTGTTTGAACTCATTCTGATGGCACCCATTCACTGCTCCATTGGTGAGCAAGTGATGTAAAGCTAAATTTTTCAGAATCTGTAATAAACTCATCTACCTCTTGGATGGCATGAGAGTAAATTAATTTTGAGGATTTTTTTTTTATTTTTGGGTGATCTACTCAACTATTGGGTGAACTAAATGTATTGATTTTAGGTTGTGTAGTTTATTCCAGCTATTACAATGCAGAGGAAAGCCAGTGCTATGCCATGATCACCTCTGAGCCTGTCCTGAAGGACACTGCAGATATAAATAACACCAATGAGATCCAGCTGGAAAGCTACTGGAACTGGCTATTTGGTCCCTGATTGTTCCCGGAAGCAGTTGACATTTTGTTCTTCACGATAAGATGCTTCGATCTGAGATGATTCAAAGAAACCGGCTTTAAAAATGGCTTGTAGGTGTTAGGTGAAATATATAGGTTATATACAGTAAATATGAGAACGTCTGTAAACTGATTTGAAAATGGCTTGTTTATTTTGTATATTTACCATTTTTGTATCTTATTTAGCTTGAACCAGAAAAGGATGGATTATGGCGATAAGAAGATTGTACAATATTCCCCAAAAGCAAACTGAAACGTTATATGGGTAACAAATACAATCATGAATCAGCCAGTTCCTGATAAATGCTTTTATGTATGAAATGTAAAGTGGAACCATACTTTCACATGATGAGTTGGTGTTTCGAGGTTGTCTGTCACAGTAGCCACCCACCCACATAACTACCAAAACACACCCTCTGTTTATTATCCCCTTTTACATCTTCTTTTACTAGATATCTCACTTCTTTTTCTTTCCAGGGCCACTGCTGAAAATTGATCCTCATCCAGAGGAGTGGAAACCCAAAACCTGAGCCATGGGGGATTATTACGAGATCCTGGGTGTGACACAAAATGCATCCCATGACGATATAAAGAAAGCGTAAGTACTCTGTGTCCTGTCATGGGCATCTATTTTTACACACGGGACATAGTAGAGCAGTAATGATAACTGATTGTGCAGCACAGGGGTTAGTTGATACTGTCCATGTGAGACTTCTCTGCTCTTTGCTGCTTGTCTCTATTAATGTGTGTTTGTCTCAATTCCTCGCTTCTGATGTTCTCTGTTTAAAACGAAAAAAACATCGGCCCTTCATTTTAATAACAAGGAGAAAGGGATTGCATTGGGTCCTTACATTCTGTAATATGAAACCAGGTCTGGTCACAAAAAGAAGTATTTCAAACACTCTACTAAGTTAAGTTAATTTGGAGAAAAAGCATGTCAATAAATTATATCTTTGTTGGACAACAGTTTTGTAAACAGGCTCATACACATGCAAAACTGTATCGCACACGTGCTACTGTAGTACATTTATTCAGACCGATTTTTTGTGCACTGTACAGCCCTAACCAAACCAGTTACAACTCGAGCTCCTCATTTAGCGATATAGGCTACTCCTCCTCAAATTCACGTCCGCTTTCCGTGATGTCGCTCCGCACTGTCGCACACAGAAATATGTCAACAACTAGACTTTATCGTTATTATCGCAGGAAGACTAATTCTTATCGTGGGGAGAATTTTTACCGGTATATTGCAAACGATAAGATATCGCCCATCCCTACCTTATACCCCATGCCTTATTCATCTACTGCCTCCCTGGAAAGGCTGTTTTGTCCTTTGTTTGTCAAGTAAGCAAACGTCTATTGAATCCTGATTCTGTAGGTCACTGAATTTGCTGATGGTAAAGGGGGGAATTTCTAAAGCACAGAGCTATGGAGGGCAAACACTAATAAAAGCTGTGCAAAGGACAAATCCCCTAGTGTATGGAGTGTTTGGTTTAGGCCATTGACCCTGTTGTGTGCTGCTGGCTGGATGTGTATCGCTGACTCAGGCCTAGTGTGTAGAGATGCTGACCTGTTGCTACACCTACTGAAGTCGTATTGTGCAGCATGACCTGTATTGAAAGTAGTTGTTCAGAGGTGCATGACTTTGTAATGCAGTGATGTGTTAGCATCATGAATGAGGACCGTGGAGTACTTTACAACGAAAAATGAGTCTCCTTGAACTGTCGATTTACATATTATGGGCCAGATTTACTAAACAGGGCAAATTAGCATTAGAGTGCATGCAATTCCATAAAAGCGCTGATGGGAGGGAAAATTCTGTGTGTGATTTACTGACAATGCGCACATTTCCATAATGACCAGCGCAATCTACCAAGAGCAGCGCAAACTCCTACAAATGCATATTCAATAAGGTCAGGCGCAAATATAACTGTGTCCATGGCTTTTCAGCACTAATTCTTCACTGCGCGTATTTAGTAAATCCTGACAGTACAATTTTAACGCCAAAAGACTGTTTGCGCTGCTGCAAGCTGTTAGTAAATCTGGCCCTATGTCTTAAAACATGTTTAGCCTATAACAAAATAATTTTAAGTCACAACATGTACTATACATGTGTAAAATTGTTTATTTTTCCACTAAATACCACTTTTCTGCCATGAAGACATATATATATAAACCTGAGCAGTCATGTTATATCGCTCTATATCACCATGGCTGTGATTTGGCCATATGTACGAGGACGTTTATACAATAGTTTGACGGCACAAGTGTTTTAAAAAATAAGAAACAACCACGGAGTGTCTTAACATTTTGTAAGCAGAACTACTTCCTTCCGCCATGGATTTAGATCTCAAGTTGGAACTGGCAGTTAATAGATAACAAATCATGCCTATGGCCGAATCACAGCCATGCTGATATATAGCGATATCACACAGGTACTCGTGTGATATTGCTCATATTTATTTTAGTTGATAGATTTTAGTTGACTATGTATATTATTGTATATAATGACCCTCATATTTGCTGTACTTTTAAACTTGAAGGAATGTTGTCAGATATACTAAGAATGCCCTGTCTTTTGTGTTGTCTTTCCACACTTAAGAAATCTTGTTTTAATGAGGGTTTGGGTATGTGTGTTTTACAGGTACAGAAAAAAAGCACTGAAGTGGCATCCAGACAAAAACCCAAACAAGGAACAGGCAGACAAAATGTTCAAAGAGATCTCAGAGGCATATGAAGTCCTGTCAGATGGTACTACTATTTATATTGTTATTATTATTATTTTTTTAATATGATGCCATGTTAATTTGAGAATTAATATATTTTAAATTACAATACTATCTTATTATACTAATATTAAAGAATTGTTGTGGAATGAATGTCCCATGCCATGAGATATTTACTTCATGCAGGTAAAAACAGCATAAAACATAAAAAGTTGTACCCAGATAGATCTATGATCAGTCTCATAAGGCCGTCAATAGTTGAAAGACTTGACTCATTAATGTTTTAAACATATTGAGGGTATAGTGCTTGTCCTCAGAATAGGATGGAATTTGACGCAAAGGTCACACTGTGGATTACATCTTTACAAACCAAAATTTCTGTTCAAAAATGGCCAGTTACATTTGCCACATTTTTCTTTCATACAGAAAACAAACGGAGACAGTATGATAAATATGGTAAAGAAGGCCTATCTCATAGAGGTAAGTAAAGTTATTCCTGATTTGTTATCTGTTGACACATTTACCTGTTTTTGAAAATGTGGTTTTCTTCTAATCCTTACTTGTTAAAAAGGAGGCCATTATGATGAGGATTTCATGGGCGGATTCACATTCCGAAATCCAGATGATGTCTTCAGGGAATTCTTTGGAGGCCGAGATCCATTTGCAGATTTTGCAGGTTTCTTTGGTAGGTACATAAATAAATTAAACTGATTAAATAACAAAAAATACACATGGAATAGAAAAAGAAGACGTATAGAGTTTTTAATAGCAAAACCATGTTTAACCTGCATCATTTCTGAATAAAGAGGTTTTTGTCAGTGAAAACAGGAGTGTTAAAAATGAGAACAAAATTCCCAAAAAGAGGAAATGAAGGTCATTTAATCTCTCACAGAGTCTCTGTGACAGTAATGGTGTGGTTTGAGTTATAATTAGGTTTTGCATGAAATTATTGGAGCTTGGGTTCATTAGATGATTAGCTTTGTTAATCTACCATAATTATATTGTTCACTAAAAATGTGCTCTTAACATGGGTGTGTATTATGGGAAATTTTCACACTTTACTGAAAGGGCTGTTTTACATGTTATATGTCTGTATGTATACATTCAATAATTTTACACCTGTATAGAATTATTACGACTATACAACAATCGCAGGATGTCAAGGACATAAAAGCACCATGAAAGTAGTCCATATGACTTGTGTGCTACATTCCAAGTCTTCTGAGGATTATCCATGAATAATGGCTTAATATAAATATCTTTTTAGAGCTTAACAGACTGCAGTCACTATAAATTGCCATAATTGTGGGGGGGGGGAGTATGTGTAGATTTAAAAAAAGTCTTTCCACAGATAAAATAACAAAAGGTTTGGAGTGAAACAAGGCAGAGTAAACGATGGCTGAATTTTCATTTTTGTGTGAACTAATTTGATATGTTGTTGAATAAGCTCTTAAAAGCATGAAAGCTGATATAGGAATTCATTAACTGGTGAAAATAGTGTTGTAGAGCTGATCACACATAACACATATTAGTCATCTGTGAAACACTAAAGTGCTGCCCCATGCCCACTGACTCTAACTGCTGGGAGCAAAATGGCTGAACGGCATGTGTGTAAAACATACAGGCACTCTAAATATGGCGAGGGCGCTCAGACCAGCAAGTGAGACGAGAAGAGACTGTGCATCATCCACTAGGAATGTTCTCAGAAATAGCTTCCGAATAAAAGAGCAGCAAGAGAAAGGGAATGGCTAATAGCTCGAGGCCGCTACGGAGAGAGAAAAATGTGTATGTGTGCATATAATGTATGTTTTTCTGCGTTTCAAGTTGTTTCAAATTGGAATGTTTCAGGAAGACCATCCTTGACGATAGAAGGTCATTGATGTTTATTTGTGTTTATGTAGCCATGACAAGGTTGGGGGTGGGTTAGAATAACAGTCACATTGTGTGTGTGTGTGTGTGTGTGTGTGTGTGTGTGTGTGTGTAAAGATCTCAGGCGTGGTTCTGCCTACGATAGAAGGTCATTGATGTTTATTTGTGTTTATGTAGCCATGACAAGGTTGGGGGTGGGTTAGAATAACAGTCACATTGTGTGTGTGTGTGTGTGTGTGTGTGTGTGTGTGTGTGTGTGTAAAGATATCAGGCGTGGTTCTGCCTGCCAAATCAAACTGCTTGAAGGAGATTCAAAAGTTCATATGAAGGTGCTGAGTGCCTGAAAATGGAGAAGCATTGATCTAGACATGTTTCAGCAGGCATAATGCTACATTGCAACACTGGTCCTGAAATTATGTGGATGAATAAAAATAGACCTGTGAAGCCCCCATCAACCTAGTATTTCCATGATCCGAAAAGGGAAAAATAAAATGTGCAAATTTATTAAAAGCCTGAAACGGAAAACTTGTGGGTTTGATCTCTGCATGAAAGGATCAATGAAACATGAGCAATGCATGCGGCTCCAGGGAGTTTCTCTCTCTTATAACACATGTATTGTTTGACAGCCAGCTCTCAAGTTTAACCTTGCTCTGAGTGGCAAAAGGCTAGAGTTGGCCAATAGATGGTAAATTGTGACTAAAACAAGCAGATAGATCAAACTGGTGACCTTTTTTAGCCAAGACCTTTTTGACTCGAAAGGTCCCCTAATGTCTAACACAATATTCTAAGGTCTCCCATATTGACTAGGATATTTCATCTGGTATTTCTGCTGTGAATTGACAATGCTGCTTGTTTTCAAACATAAAAAAAAAAAAAACAGAAATCTGGAGTAGTTTTGATATTAATTTATTCATGATATCATTATTGTTTGCATTTTAATTACGATTTTTTTTTTTTTTTAAGTAATTAAACCATTTTATGTCACCCTTGGACTTTATTTCAGGAGTCTCGTTTTTAATGGAAGAATAAAAGATGGCAGATTTCCCCCTTTCACTGTGTCCATGTTTAGATGTTGTAAATGCTTTCTTTAGTTCTGTAATGCAATATTATGCTGTTGGTGAATGTTTCAGTGGTCTGTCTTGTCAAGCATGTAAATCTATTATCCAGTAGTTATGTTCAGTAGTAGATAAATTGTACTTGTGGGACCAATTTATTCAAACATATTTTACATGTACAGCCATGACAGTGTTTTTCACTAAGCTCCTTTTTCTTTTGATTTAGCTGATGACCCCTTTGAAGATTTCTTCGGTGGGCGGCGTCACAGGGGTGTTAGCAGGAGCAGGACGACAGGTTCATTCTTTCCTGGGTTTTCTCCATTTGGTTCCCCCTTTTCTGGGTTTGACGCAGGTTTGTTAATGTGTGTGTGTGTAGCTAGTGAAAAATCATACTTGTGTATTTAAACATCATCATCATTGTCATTTCTGTAGGTTTCACCCCGTTTGGCCCAATGGGTGGGGGGGGCTTCACCTCGTTTTCCTCCTCCTCATTTGGGGGTGGTGGTGGTGGTGGTGGGGGTGGTGGAATGGGAAACTTCCGCTCTGTCTCTTCATCCACCAAATTTATCAATGGAAAGAGGATCACCACCAAACGGTACCGAAAAACATTCTGTAACGGCCTCTAACTGTTTGAATAGTGATTCACAACTTCAAGCATATTACACTTTTGCATATTCTTCAGTCACTACATATCTATGCAAAAGGCTCATAAACTGATGCTTATTTGACTAAGCCTTAACTACTATCTATGGTAATAATTGTACAGTTAATGTCAGCTCACTCTACAGCTAACTTTTGTGTCATCACAGTATTGTAGAGAACGGTCAAGAGAGAGTGGAGGTAGAGGAGGACGGTCAGCTCAAATCTCTCGCAGTCAATGGTAAGGTCCAACTTCTCCGACTGGACAAGTGATTTCTGAACTCTGCAGATGAACATTCAAAACATTTTAACCCAAACATTCCTAAACATAACCAACCCTCCCAACCAGACTGATGGCTACTAAAACACCTGCTCTCCACCAGTCAGCAAGCCAAGAGTAGGTCACGTGATGCATCCATGTGATGTGAGCTTTTAGGTGGTGCTGTTACCCTCTGTGCAGTGAATCGCAGACCTAAACAGGGTGAACTCTCATTCCAATGTAAGCGTTTTTCCGTTTTTGTTTTTCTTTTCTTTTTTTGGGAGACGGGGACCATTTATTCCTCACAAAAACAGGAGACCTCAGTTTGAACAAGCACACTTCATTCCTTTCCGTCAGCTGATGGCTGTTCTTTCATCCATAAGTGCTTATTGCCTGATTGAAACTGGAGCTTAACAGGTTGTTTCTGCTTTCTGCTGTAGAGTCATTTAACTGTTCAAATGTTGAAGTCTTAACCTCTACACTTTGAAATATTTAATATGATCTAACCAATGTTAGGAGCCACCAGTTGTTTATAATATTAAGCTGTTTATTAAGCTTCACACCAAACTGTTGCATAACCTGAGACCTTTCCATTATTAAGAATATATATTGTGTGACTTTATATGCTGGACATTTTGTTCTTTGTAAGACAAAAAGCAAAGATGGACAAAGTTTCAGGTTCAATAAATCTCACTTTCACCTGTTTGGAATGTTGCACTCACAGTTTCTTTGCGGTGGTTTTTAGAAAACGTGCCTATAATTTGTGTGTAGGTGTGTTTTTTTTGCTTGGCTGATGTGTCTCATTGCAGCACTTACAAAATTAAAATGAGTAAAACATTGCCTTTTAATCTGCTTTTACATCTTATTGTTTCCACTAGCTTCTAAAATATTCACACATGCATGTGCACATACTTAAGCGGTTTTATTTGGTTTGTTCTACAATGTTGATTTCAGGACACAAAGACAAGATTTCACCTTTGATTAACTGCAAATATATGTAATGATCACTTGCTCCTGCAGTCTTTGACAGCCATGATGTGATAAGCTCAAAGCCTCAGCAGATGTTCATTTATCCAAACCTTGTCCTTCTCATATTGATGTAAATAGACTCAATCCTCAAGATTGAGAACACATAAGCTAGCATTAACCCATAATGAATTATGATTATGTATTTTATAACCAAATCAGGAAATGCCAGGATGACAATTGGATCCTTTGTAGATGTAAAGATTTAGCACTACAGACAGACTCTGTTTATGATGACCTTACGCACGCACACACACACAGTGCAGGTCATTACAAGATGGGAACTGAGACGCAGCAAAGGTGTAATTGATTTCCTCTACACTTTTTTTAAAACTTTTTTTAAACAATTTATTCGACACTGGTCTTTGAAGCATTTTAAAGAATTTTGTTTAATTTTTAGATATAAATCAGTAATAAATAAAAGATTTAATAAATACTGACCTCACTATTTTAAATAAACAAAGCTAATGATTCTTTTAAAATGTATTTGCCAGGCCCAAATGTCCTCACTATTATAATGAAATATCGTGTGTGTGTGTGTGTGTGTGTGTGTGTGTGTGTGTGTGTGTGAGTGAGTCAGTGAGTGTGTGCGTGCATGCGTGAGTGTACATGTTTTTCTATCCCGGTGGGGACTTAAACCTGAATACTCACTGACTCATGGGGACCTAAATTGAGGTACGTAAATAAATCATACAGAATGAGTTTTTTGAGAATGTAAAAATGCCTGTAGTTTTGTGTGAAGGGCAGGTTTAGGTGTAGGGTATGTGT